GCACTTAGATCTTAAGAATCTGTTATATATATATATATATATATATATATATCTTGGATAGCACTTTGTGGCCGGAGGAACGCGTCGCCATTCGTCATACCTGTAAACGAAACATATACCGTCCGGTTTCTGATGATGAGTTCAGTTCTTATGTCGTTTTGAGCCATCATACATGTTCCTGAACAAATGGACAGAAATCAAGCTCCCGTGTCCTCCGAGAACATTACTTGGACATGCTTATATAAGATGAAAGCTATTTCGTCTCGTTCATGGGCGACCACTGCTCAACTAAGTCCAGTCGAGTCAATTGCTTTTCTAGAAATTAATGGTAATTCAGCGGGTGGATGAATTCTGACTGTCACTGTGGCGCTTTTGTGTGAGGTGTATGTGTGTGGCCTAATAGCGGTATTTGTTTTTGCTATCTACGAGTCGTTCCGGTCGACACAGCAGTAGGCATTTTCATTCCGATATTCTACTTCGCCCTGTAATTCAGGCTTTGTCTGAAGGGCAACTAGGCTATTCTTCCCCAGTAGATAATGATGGATGTGAGTGGATGTTGTGAGTAGTTTGGTATTGATCACTGCAATCTAGAAGCATGGGATTCCTACAATAAATCCGTACCTCTCCCCATTCTCTCAATTCTTCTTTCACTTTTGTGTGGCAATCAATCATGAGTATTTACTGTCGGTGTAATATTCTCAATGACGACCATGATGATTATAAAGAAATGACCGGACGTTAATGCAACGCCTTAACATCAAGCATTAATTTAATGGATTATCTAGGGCCGTGATAGCTCAGCATATGCATTAGGACCGACCAAGATGAAGTGATTCCTCAGTGACACGTTATTTTCAGTCTTATCTTTTGCATTGATAGCTGAAGAATTGGCGGGGCTATTCCTCACCACGAATGAACACCAGCAAACACATGCAGTAAACACGTTTCCAACAACTACCGTATTCGGTGTTTGTAAAACTGATTTTCAGCGTCTAGATTGTTTACACAACAAACATACTATATTCCACGGTACTATATAGCTGTAAAGAACGCCGTGTGTTTCGCCACTTTCAAAGTACTGTGCCCACTTGAGTAAATCAAGTCTCGTTCTTCTTATGGGAGAAAGCTTCTCTAGGAAGGTTGTGGAGTAGTACGGAGCAATTTCAAAAGAGGACGTTCCAGTTGCTCAGATTGGAAAGTACTTTTGTGCATGTCATATCACAAAGAAAACTTTGTCTGACTAGTCCAATGTAGAGAAATTGGAAGCTAATTATGTGGACGCCGGGTAATTCTGTTCAACCAAACAAGGACATTTTGGAATACCCTTCGGTAGTCCGTTCCTCACGGTAGCGTTATCCAGTTATATTTCCGTCAACTTGCTGTAACAGTTAATCAAATTTCCTACCTTTCTAAGCTTTACGGGGAAAAAAACTACAGCTTTTTTTCAAACTGTGCCCTAATTTATGAAGAGTTCAATTTTGAACGGTCTCATAGGTGCTCACTGTCCTTACAAAACGGTCTATTTGGTATGCTCTTTGGTATTAGCTCTGTTCTTTATTTTGGGCTACTTAGTTGCACTCTTTGTCCCGTTATCAGTGTGACTGCAATTGTTCTCCTCGCCCGGTTCTCGTGGAGCAAGCAAACGGTGTGGGCGATGTTGATCGGGGATCGGGTTCTACGTCAAGCCCTTCCGAGGGTTTGGGTCCTTCACTTTTTCCAGCGGTGCGAGATTCCGCTCAGCTGGACACCCACGAGGAAGTGCAATGGGCCATGCAGGTAGGATTCAACTTTTCTAAACAAGGACATATCTACTCAATTTGTTGTTTAGTTCGCCAAGAGGATTAACTTGTAGTATTTATTTACTATGGTACTTCACTTTTACGCCCCACTCAATGCATATCATTTTGATTTAATGCGTCTTATCCTCTACGTTTATTGACACTCATGATCGATCGGTGTCACGTGTCCGTGTTCCATGTGTTACCATGGTGATTAGGCGACAATCTGCCTTGAGGTCCGTATCTGGCAGTGCACACGCTTGAGGACCATAGCGACTTTACTTAAAGTATTTTCGTGACTATGTTTAGACTGATTTTGTGTTTACGTATCCAACTCATCGGCGCAATCTTTTTTAAGCCGCGCCTGTTTCAACGTAACTATGCTTTGGCTAGGGCTATTGCCGCTACTCCACTTCACTGTTCTAGTTGAACCTGAAAATGAGCTCGCTAAAGGTTGTGCGGAGAACTCATCCTACTTATTTGTGGTGGTGTATTACCCAGCCTCCATTCGGTGAATGCGCAAGCTAGACGAGATCAGTATTATGAACATTGTCATCCACCTCACTATTTTGTGTCAACCAAGTCTTTGCCCCTTCCAACTTCAGAACTAGTGACAAAATCATCGTAAATTTTTGATGAGATTATTGCATCAGTCGCTATCTCCGAATACACATTTCAATCTCTTCTAGTTCATCACTTATGGTCTGACGATGCCAGCTGAGCACTGGGACGTGGTAGTGCACAGTGCTCATATCTACTGCTGTTGGCTCCGATATATGCTTCCTTTCGGGGGTCAAAACACGAGTCCTTCGTCCACAGCTCCTCCACCACTACCATTCCATTATCCTCGTGCGTTGCGACGTGATCCAATGCGATACTTGGATCGTATTTTGTCGTCTCTGTGCTTCTTTTTCTTGCCACGCTTCCCTGAACCTCTTTGGAATCATCCCAAGTGGATTGTTAACAGCTTGGGTCGTACTGTTGTGGCCATCAATAAAAATTTGGAAGACCAAGTCGATCTACCTGAATCGTTCGGTACGTTTCTGCACGACTTGCCGTACCTTGTTCTTGTTGTTTTAAGAAACCATGCTTGTTGCTGTTTTCGTTTTATGCTTCTGTCTCTCAGCCTCTGTCAGTTCTCTAATTGAACCTTAAATTTAAGTCATTCTTGAGAAACTCATTTGCGTGACAAAGTAGATATAGAGTCACAAACCTGCTCATTGGGCACTGACTTGGGAGTTCATGTCGAACTTGGGGATGAATAATGCAATGATAAAACACGGTTAACTAATTTTCATGCTAGAGACATATGTGCGGGGAAAACACGCTGCCTTCCGATCGATTGCAAGCTCAAACATATCTGCTATTTCTTACGTGAGCAATTACTCTAAATCCACCTCTCGATTTGGGTGACCTGGACTACTTGTCTCAGAAGCCTCGAGAACATTGCCAATATGTTTGTGTGCTTAGTCCGCTCTGAACTCATCTGAGTCATCCCCGTGGCTTTGACATGTCGGGATCTTACCGTATGGATCATTGGTATGGGTTGCCAATCGTCCTTTGGTTAGAGAAGACCAGACTGGCTTTCTTCGACCCATCTGTGTCGACATTATGTCCATGTTTCTCAAGGGGACGTGCTACAACAATACATCACACCTCGAAATGCTGTATGGTCACGAGATTGGTCATCTTTCAAACGACCGGTGTCTTCATCTTTCCTAGAGTTCGCATGATCTCCAACTCCGTTAATAGATGAAGATATGCTGATAGCCATATCGTACCTGTTGAGATTGACGTTTTCGGTCGGCTTGCTCGATTAGGTTGAGTTGGATTCTGTTGAGTCGGATGGGCATACCGTGAACTGCTTTCGTTTACCCCACCTTATACCCTGACTGGAAATTGTAGTTCCTATGTAGCACTGTTGAGGGACTTGTGCTGTCAAACTTCTTTCAGTTTGGTAATCACATCCTTCGCATATCATCCCCATTTTGGTTATCGGAATGAGTAAATATGAAATACTTCGAGCTACGCATCACTCTGACATTTTTTCGCTCTTCTCTGTCAATTTTCCAGTTGTTGTTGAACGTGTCAGTTCTACGCACATGCTTCACTCTCAACTAAAAGTCACCCAAGCAATCGTACAAGCCGTGGAATCAGTACTAAGCAACGCAGCTAATCTACCACCCAATGCTTGGGACTCTCTGTTGCAGTTTTGTTTGAATATATCGCACGCTGTGCTGGCCCCTCCTTTACCCGTGCCTAGTCCTCGTCCGAAGCCTACGAGCGCTGCTGGCGCTGGATTTTATCCTGGCTCATTTCCCGTCACCATGTCCCCTGCCGTGCTCTCCGAGGCCAGTGGTAGCACCGCGGTCGTGACAAACACGACGAGGACTACAGAAGTTGCAGCAATGGACCCAGCCCGTCTGGCGGAAACCATTGTGGATCAAGTTGTCAGTTTGCTCATGAACACCTGGATGACAGCCTGCTCCTATTGCTTCCCCCGTCCGCAGATGTGGGCCGCCCTCAAGGATTGTGTACGGGTGTGGCGTCACCAATCTGTACTGGTCTACCACTGGTGTCGTGTTCTTATAGCGGTGACGAGCCACCTGATGGGAATCCTTTACAGTCCAGCAAATGTTTTAGCGGGCGCTGATACACCAGCTCCACCAGTTTTGCCGACAGGTTGGTGATGCACTCTATCACCTTTTGTGGAGTAATCGCTCTCTTTTTTGTTTTCTCCAAAAACATTGTTTCCGGTGGGACGAAAGCTTCACCACTCATTTTTATGCAACAGCGGTACTCTCACAATAGAAAAGCGAACTTATTTCCGTGGTAGTCGCTATTACTGAAGTTTCCGGGGTTTCTGAACTTCCTAGCGTGTTCAGTGATTCATCATTTTGTTTTCTTTATGATCTCCCTTTTTATCCTTTGCCCCTGTCTGGGGCAATTAGTGCTAACTGTCGCACCAGAGTTCGTAAGCGGTGTATACTGATATGTTGTGTAGATGTGGGGATGGAACATACGCTGACGGGATCACGTCATGATGTCAGCCCTTTCAAAGGCAGAGTTATAACAATACTTCATGACCTATATAACTCTGTGGATCGGGCATTCAGCTGATTTAGGCCGAAGATTTTTTCTAACCACCAGTATCCTCGGCACATTTTCAGGGTCTCATTTCTGCAGCTAGTATGCCGTCACTCACATCAAAATGTTCAATTTTTCAATTCCATACCCTACATATATTTTGCACCGGTTGAACCTGTTAATTTTACTTTCCAGTTCCGAGGCGTCGAAGTTCAGGTGAGCGCATTTCAATCTGGCCACAGTGCACTTGCGCTCTCTCTCCACTCGTTTTCGTAATCGGCCATGAGCACTGCATTGCTACACAGTTCAGCTGGTTCCGCAATGCATGTTTACTGTGTGGACGGCCACGGGCTCCTCATAATGGACAGTTAGCGAATTCCCCCTCGTCAGTAGAGAGGAGGAAACCGAATGCACCAGCACATTCGCACTACGTGGCGGGTGAAGTGCATCATGACAGATAGTGAAAGCTTCACGTTTTGACCGAAGCCATGCTGGCAATGCAGCTGGGCTTCGTTGCCTCCTAAATCGGTTTCTGCATTAATCCGCACATCCCAGCTGGTGTAAACTTGCGCCTGGTTTGCTGTGTTGTGGCCCCCTAAAATCACACGTATAGACACCATTTTTCGTACACCTGCTAATAAAACTTAGGTTTCAAACTAAGTTGGCGGTGTGTTGCTCTACCATCGCGTGGTTATTGGTAAGGACAATGTTTTCGTATTCATCATTTTCTAGTCGACAAGTTTGGTGTGACCGTCCTTCCGCATGAGATGTCCACGGAGAGTGTCAAAGAAAGCTGGCTGCGTTTGTTGTATCTACTGGGTAATCCTGTGGATATTTGCGATATGCGCACACTCGCTACTCCAGTCTTGGAAATGTTCAAGTAAGTTTCAATGCTCGGCTAATATGCTTTACTACTAATACATTTTTCCCTTCCTGCTAACGGTTAGTTTGATGTGGTTTCACAGCGTTTTCTTGTATTGCAATTGTGACGCGACACGTGCCACAAACGTGCCTGGAAACAGATTCAAGCATGCGATTGCATAGGTTTGAAAAATCAAGTAAAGAATACTGTTCGGTCGGAATACCGTTTGCGAGTTTTCAGCAGAATCGTTGAATGAAGTGATCAGATGTGAAAATAGATCTTTATCAGAAAAAAGGAGGGAGTTCAAGCACACCGATTAAATAAGAGGGCACAGACCGAGACTCCCACATATTGTATTCGGGTCCGCCAAATTTCCATCATCCAAGGAATTGTGAAGTCGCGACAGGCGGTAGTTCTCATCAGTTGGAGTTTGAAGTAGGACCGAGTATAGGCTGTTCGTACAACTTGAAATGTAACCAGGTATGAAGAATACCGGATTCTTACTGTGAAGTCTAATGGAGCGTCAGTGTTGTAAACTGGTTCTTATAAATTTCTCCTTGAAAGCACAAGGCGTTTTAAGATATGCTCCAATGTCTTATGTTATAAAGCTGTGGTTCTCATAGTTCAGGGATTAAAACGGGTGGGACTTGTGTCCATTCGGCAAAGGTACACTTGACAATAGATGGGCAAGACATTTAAGAGAGGAAGTTTTTAGTCTAGCAGCACAAAAGGGTAAACGTCTTATTTCCGTATAAAAGAACATATTGAATGTGGAGAGGTCAGCTGCCATTTCTAGATGAACTAATACCTAAGTTTTTACTATGAAGGATTTCCGGGAAGTAAACTTTTACGAATGCCGATCGATAAAATTTGTCGAGACGATGTTGATGAAGCTAGTGAAAGCAAGACATGTTGATATTTTCGGGGTATTGTATCGTGAGTGGCCGTCTATGGGTTACGCCTGAACTGAGCCTGCCAAACTGTGCGATAGGGAGGTGACAGAGAACTGGGAACACGGCTGTATTGCCAGGACAAAACATACAGAGCGTCTGTGTAAATATATAGGATGACTAAATGGCCAAATATGATCCTTCGCTTGTTCGTTCCGTACAGCCAATGGCGGTGTTCCGGTCGTGAACACTCTCAGGCCCACTACGCTAGTCGTATGTTGTTAAGCTGTGTTTGGTGAGAGCCGCCAAGTCACCTACTTTCCGGACGTGTCGTGCTGATGGTGACCTTGGGGGTGCGTCGCTCTCTGCGTATGTACTTTTTCCATGTCTTGGCGCGTCCTGACACGGGGTATTGATGAAGATAACACTATCAAGACTATCGCGGCGACCCATCTTGTAACTTTGTTTGTATCTCAAAATAGGGATGAGTTCACACTCCTGAAGCATTTTAGATAGCAGAGGATTTGGGCCATATACTTTTGTAGTTTTGAGCTGAGCTTTCTAGGGTCGATATCGTGAGTAGACTTTAACTTGTTATTGCACGGCTACCTCTAAGCATTTTACCAGGGAAACCCGTTTTTAAGCTTTTCAGAGTGAGTGATACCTTAGGGAGAGATTTAAGTACCTTGATATGAGGAAGTGTCGGTGGACCATTATGTTGCTAAGACATGAGTGTAATTGCTGAATACACACCCATAGTCCTTTGCTTGTTCGTACGCTCATTAAACTGTTTCGCGCTCCTGGAAGGATTTAAGCTGTCATCTTAACAACTGCCCCATTCAGTTATTCCTTGTAACTTTAAGCCACTGCAACCGGAGTACCAAAACATACACTAACAGACCGCCGTTGTGCTATCCAACCTCACTTCTGTATTTGAGGTCTTAGCAGCAGAAGTACATCCGTCTGCTTCGCCCCGACCATGAGAGCTGGATTTGCTAGTCTTCCGAAAAATAATGCTAGCCAGCTCCGCGGCCCAGCTAAATCGGTGGGGCTTGAGTGCTTATCTATTGTCTTTCCAATGCTTTGCGTTTTTGTTTTATTTACTGGGGCATCATTCATTGGAATCTGTGGCCTTACTCGTAGACAGATGTGTGGCTAGAACACTGCTTGACCATCCACGAGCATCAGATCAGACATTTGCATGGAGGTCGATGAGGTGGGCTTTCATGCTCGATGATGCGAATGATTTCATTCTGAAGTCAAAAAGAATATTGGTAGCTTAGGTTGTAATAGCCGTCGGTTTGTTCGCTGAGCTAGACAATTTGGTTGCAAACTTTTCATCATCAGTCAAGGTGACGTCATTCTTTTCAGATTCCTCTCTGATGTACTGCAGTACGGCTGAAAGGAAACTAAAAACAACGGATATCTTGGAAAACATCAAAAGAAGCTTGAAGAAAAATGCCTCTAAAGAACACCAGAAACACCAAGATCAACCAGTTTCTAGGGACGTTTTTCTCCATAATGCTAGCAACAACCTGTTTGAGCTGGATACCAGCCAAGATCTTGTCTGCTCCGCTTTTCCCTCTCTCTTCGGTATGTTTTCCTTCTATACAAAGAAATCCTAGTTATATTCTTCAAGTCTTATGGGGCTCCTTTCATCTCGTAAGTAGGGTTTTCGGTCCACTTGATTGGGGAGAAAATTTTGGAGATTTGAAAAAAGGTCTTTATGAGGAGGGTGGTTCTTATATTGGGAACCTTAATGCCTGTGTTTCTAGGTTTCTTTCATGCACAAAAGCTACAAACTCAACATACTAGTGATAGAAATATTTATTCTTTCGATTTGCAGAAAAACCGCCGCTGCGGATCGTGTGGCCGCTGCGTCCATCCACTTGCCCTACGTTTATCACCAAATGCTGCGAGGTCTGTCCGCGGTGGTTGATGGTTTCCTTGGGATTCAACCAAGTTTGGCCATCGGGATAGAAGCAGCGTTGGGTGTACCGAATGATCTCTATCGTCCCCTGGGCTCTGTGTCCCCACCCTCCATTGCTGCTGTTGGTGGTAGTGGTAGTGGTGTGGAAGTTGATGGTAGGTTAAACGGTACCTAATCTGTTGAATTCTCTGGCGCTGAAGTCAGAGCTCATACAGTTTATCGTATCTACCGACAACCCTTATGTAAGACCTGAATTCATTTGCTGCCGAAAGTGTTGCCGTAGATCCCGTTCGTGATTTTAATTCTTCCCTCCGCTTGTTCTCCTATTTCCTACATAGGAAGTCAACATACTCTCCGTAGTCTGTTACACTGGAATATGTTCTTGTCTCATGACAAATCTGTCTTTGGACACTAAGCAGCAGGTCAGACCACGCCATCTTTTCTAAAAATATCTTCTGACTGTTTACATATTACATTATTCAAGTCGCTCAATGCAGCCGTCCAGTCCGATTGACGGGACTTCACTTTAGCGAAATACACTCATTCGCAAACGAATTTGGTTTTGAGAGAGACTCACCTGGAACCCAGCTCAATCTCTCGTTTGTAATGTTCATCAGTCCAAGCCGTACTGTCAACCACACTACTGTTTCTCGTTTTCACCATATTCACAGTTCTCGATCTTTGCTTAGTAATCAATTGTTTCTGCTGTAATACTATATATTGTTTATTGTACTCTGCCCTCACAGTCGACATGGTGAAATCGATTCCGCTGATCACGGCGGGGCCTCCGGTTCCAGTACATCGCAGCTCGGGCGCTGTCGGCTTTCCGGACAAAGGATCTCGTAGGTTCTCGTTTGGTCGGTATCGTTTTCTACTGAGCCCAACCGTCTGTTGAGGTGCAGGAGTTTTAGTAGCTGCCATTAATTAAAGACAGAAATAAGTCCTATTTCGTTCTGAGCCGTTGAAACTTAGCGATGGTACGACTAGGATGCAAATCCTGGTCTTTTAACTCCATGCGAAAGTCACAGGTGCCTCACATAGGTCAACATTTTTGCCTGTGTTTGCTAACCAGATACCCACTGTGGACGTAGTTAGATTCGGTGTGAAAGGAAAGCCAATGACTTGCACGATTCACTACGGATCGGATATCTGTTTTTGTGTCTGCTTTCACCGGGTTCACCAATGTGTATGTAATATTGCGAAACGATTGTGTAAACGAAAAGGTTACCTTCGCTTGCTCATTTGGCCGTTGCTGAAAACAATAGCAGGATACATTGGTGCAACATTTTTCCGGCATACTGAATCGGGCAGTATGCGACTTGGTAGTGTTTGAATTCTTAATCCAACAGCTTTTCGTCTGCTTAGTCCTTGTCACCACCCAACTCCAGCAACATGAGCACGTACCGACTGACCGATGGGTTTACTCCGACTTCCGATGTGTCAGCGCACCGTTGCCGACGTCTAATGGCATCGTGCAACATTCTCCCTATCATAGTCGTCGAATTTTTGGAGTTGTGTGTGTAAACAGCATACTTGCCGTACATTTGTTACAGCTGCCACAGTTTTGTTCGTCGATGATTCGGGGGGATGGGTAGGTAGCTGCGCATTTAAGACAGTAGCGGACATAATTGATGTGTAGATACAGGGTGTTCGACGTAGGAGATTGGGAAGGGAGCTATGCATTGAAGGTAGTGGCTTGGATGCGCGAGCGGCATTGAGGGCGCGACTAGGCCATGTGTGACAATGTATCTAACCGTTGATGTGTCTTCTCGCGAGGTCTCTCTCCAGAGAGACCAGCACAATTGTGTTAGCTGGAACTGGTCTTCATACTTCGCTGTCAAGTCATTGTTCGACTTCTCCTGGCTCCTTTCCAACCGTCACGTGGTCGAGTGACATACGGAGCACGTAACCAAGCCGGCGCAACATATGGGACGTGATCAACTCATCCATCATGGGTGAGTTATTTCCGAAAACCATTCAACGTATTTCAGCATTGCTGATCCGGTGTTCCCACCAGACTCGGTTAATTCTCTGAAGGTACCGATGATCGAATACCGATAGCCTTTTGACTCCTTCGGCGCGCACCGGCCAGCTTTCTGACTCGTATATTAATGTGGAGCGCACCGCAGTAGTGTGAACGCAACCCTTGACAGGTAAGCTGATGTCACGCTTACTGTCAGGAAGATCAGATTCCTGATGGTTATCCCAGAATACCGTAAACCTACTAAGACCTTCAAAACTTCATTAATCGCCGACTAGACAGCCTTGGATCAAGGTCAGACAAAGCCCCCTGAATATATAACGCAAAGCTGTTGCACTTTTCGCCCTCACTCGCAATAAAACTGTTCTGTTCCTTGTCGTTCAGTCTTTTTTTCGGGCACTAGGCACTGGGGCGGGGACAGCAGTCAGATATAACAGCAACAGGTGACGCAGGTTCACGAAAGCTGTTCTGGCGTTCCGAGTTCGGATGGAAATATTATCTTTCGCGAGATCATCGAGACTGATGCAGCTGCTCAGGTAGAAAAATATGTGTCATACGCAAGAAGGGAGTTAGGTTTTGAGCCCACCCAGTCCTGAAGCAGCACTCCACACTTTGCAGGTGTGAAGTGTATGCCGAACTGCGAGGCAGAATTATTTAGATTATTTAATATTGTTTGCATTATCACTTGTCAGATCCAAGACGAGCTATGTCGTCTGTGTACTTGATATCTGTGAGCAAACGCCCCAGGAGCCTTTTGACCCAACAGGCATTGGACACTGATTGTGAGTCTTTCGGAATCGTATGAATGTCCTACCTGACGCCACTTGATGTGATGAACTCAGGTGGGAGCTTATCGTGGACGTTATTCGAAGTGTTCGGTCCATTTTTCCGGTCTTTCCACGTGTTGCTTCACTAACCGTTGCTTTCCTAGGGCAAGTCGATCGTATCAGTTGAAATAACCACTTGGGCCATCTGTCTAGGCTTGGGCAACCTGGCAGTATCCCAGCCCTCGTGCTTCCTTCGGGTGGCATGGCAGCTAGGCACCGAAAGGGACGCTACAGCTGAACGCCTTTATCAGTTGAAATAGGGCATGGCTGTTTCCGGTGGCAGAAGCCTTCTCCGTCTCCTGAGCTTTCGATGTTCACCAGAGCTCTCAGTCTTTCCGTAGGTTCTTCGCTATTTGGCGTTTGAGAGACTTGTGTGCACTGTCCTACTGGTTGCCTGCTGGTATGGTTTTCGTGGCGTCAATTATGGCTAGTGATCTCGACGATATCCAGTGGTCTTGTGGTCGAATAGGAAAAGTCAGACAGACAGCACTGAAGTCGCTAGCCTAGCTCATTTCACATTTTACCATGCTTCATCCCCGTTCTCGATACTAGTAGGGTTTTGTTTTACTGTAGAAAGTTGTTGAGCTAGCTCAGATCGATGCTGTTGGGATATGGTAGTTCTTCGGAGATGATGAATTGGAATGCTTTTACTGACTTGCAAGGACCTTGAGGGAAACGAACTCCCAGGCGCACACGCACCGTGTCGTGATCGGAATCAAGTTGTGTACCCCAGAACGAACGGCAGTTTTTCTTGAATTGCGGCTGATGGCCATGTGGTCCAACTGGGTCCACGGTTGATTTGCAGATGGTGGCCGCCTGGTTGCGCAATGCGAGTGTTTGTGCCGAAAGTCCGCAATGGCCAGAAAGAGTTGATGGTCAGCAGCATCAGAACTGCGGTATGTTGGTGCACAAACCAACACTACAAACAGGCGCCTAATCGACCAGTCAGATGTGATTCCAAGGAGCTCAGACTATCGACTTGGTCATTCATATCGCCATCCAGGATAACAGTGTCAGTGGTTCTTGCCTGACGACCTCGGATAAGTTTCTATATGAAGCACCCTTCTCAGCATCAGAACTGCGGTATGTTGGTGCACAAACCAACACTACAAACAGGCGGCGCTTTTTTATATATCGAGAGGCGTTGAGCTTGATTGAGCCAGATAACCGGATGGCGCAGAGACGACTGTTCACTGGGATCTAATCCAGCAAAGCGCGTTCAGCTCTTGGGTTGAGTCGAACGCCAGCGCCATATATTCCACGAGTTATCGCTTCTGGATCACTGGACACACGGAGAGAGATGTGAAAGAGCTGAGTTCGTCCCTGGCGTTTTGAGATGCCTAACCACGCTTTGGCCTTGTATATGTGTTTCGGAGACAGAGCACATATCAGTTTTAAGGGAGTTTGAGGTTTCAACGGTGCATTGCCGTTTACCAGTGTGATGTAGAGTACGGATGTTAAAAACTCCTATGTAGAAAGCATTTCGTGGATTTAGAAAGGTGTTCTTCCCTTCATTGTTAATAGGCCGTGGGGAGCATAAGGCCCTTCAGTCAGATAACTGACGGTCAGGTGACCCAGCAAGATTCACGTGTGTTGGAAAGGAGTTGGGGAGGGACATCGGTGGGTACAGAACTGTGCGGGCAAATGATGCTTCCCGGTTGCCCATGAGGAGCTTAAGGGTTTGGATGCGGTACCCCACCTTGAGCCTCTGACCCGAAAGTCTGACCCAGAGTGTAGTGGGAGGATGTAAGGTTTTGTTCGCCCTGTCCCTAGTCTCTGACTAAAAAGTCTGAACCGCGCGGCAGCGGGCAGTAGGGGGGCCTCCCTTAGCGGATGACACAATAATCTGACCTGCTTGGCTGTTGGAGGTTGGCCCAACCTGAGCGCGCATGGAGTAATGCATTACTGTCCCACTCTTGATGAGGCTGCCGCGGCAGGTGCCTTTTGAGCAGCACCATACTCTTTGGTTTTCGAAGTACTTCGTCGGCAGTCACCGTCAACTGTTGGGCGATCGAAGTGTGCGGTTTTTAGGGCCAACCTTTCCCAACCCATCCTTCCGCAAGGGAAGACAGCATCGCTGCTTCCATGAATACGGACATGCTGGTCGCCTGGAGAAACACTTTACTGCCTTCCTACTCATATTGCACTCATACCCCATACCGCGTCGTTACACGATTACTCGTAGTACGAGGTCCCGCTGCTCTTGGTTTGACTGCTCTCTTTTGGCCTTGCTGGCATGGTTGCACCTTGTCGAACGAAGTTCCAGCCAGGGTAGCCCGCGGGATCATTTCAGCACTCAAGCCCGACCGCCGCGTCAAGGTGTCAGCTTTGGGTCGGGATGTGGACTGTTAACCTGCACTACACTTTATTTTTTTATTTTCTAGCATGACGGTACGCATTAGTTAATTTGGGCATCGAACTGAGATAATCTGTTTACCATTACACGATACTTACTTCACTACAGGATTATGTGTGGTGATCCTCATCATTTTGGAAAGTCTTAGCAGAATTAGTCGGCGTCATACTCGTGTTTACGTCTTGTTTGTGGTCCGTTTACCGAAGACTGTCCTCGAACTTTGACCAGCCTGTCCTCTTATCCGAACACTGACTTGCACGTTTTATGAGTTATTCACTCAGTCGAACCATCAACCAGCGGTATTATCGGATTTCAACTAGTTTCTTTTTTTGTGGTTTCGTATGTTGTACACGGAGCCTTCCGATATTAAAATAGCCCGCTTCAAGTTTCTCCACTAGTTAAATGTCCTAATCATCGGCGGATGCTTGTTAGATTTCTCTAGTCATCTTCCGTCGGTCATAGCCCAATAAGATTGCTAGTGTGTTTCGCCTTCGGATATTCGACTGATTGTGAGTCTTTCGGAATCGTATGAATGTCCTACCTGACGCCACTTGATGTGATGAACTCAGGTGGGAGCTTATCGTGGACGTTATTCGAAGTGTTCGGTCCATTTTTCCGGTCTTTCCACGTGTTGCTTCACTAACCGTTGCTTTCCTAGGGCAAGTCGATCGTATCAGTTGAAATAACCACTTGGGCCATCTGTCTAGGCTTGGGCAACCTGGCAGTATCCCAGCCCTCGTGCTTCCTTCGGGTGGCATGGCAGCTAGGCACCGAAAGGGACGCTACAGCTGAACGCCTTTATCAGTTGAAATAGGGCATGGCTGTTTCCGGTGGCAGAAGCCTTCTCCGTCTCCTGAGCTTTCGATGTTCACCAGAGCTCTCAGTCTTTCCGTAGGTTCTTCGCTATTTGGCGTTTGAGAGACTTGTGTGCACTGTCCTACTGGTTGCCTGCTGGTATGGTTTTCGTGGCGTCAATTATGGCTAGTGATCTCGACGATATCCAGTGGTCTTGTGGTCGAATAGGAAAAGTCAGACAGACAGCACTGAAGTCGCTAGCCTAGCTCATTTCACATTTTACCATGCTTCATCCCCGTTCTCGATACTAGTAGGGTTTTGTTTTACTGTAGAAAGTTGTTGAGCTAGCTCAGATCGATGCTGTTGGGATATGGTAGTTCTTCGGAGATGATGAATTGGAATGCTTTTACTGACTTGCAAGGACCTTGAGGGAAACGAACTCCCAGGCGCACACGCACCGTGTCGTGATCGGAATCAAGTTGTGTACCCCAGAACGAACGGCAGTTTTTCTTGAATTGCGGCTGATGGCCATGTGGTCCAACTGGGTCCACGGTTGATTTGCAGATGGTGGCCGCCTGGTTGCGCAATGCGAGTGTTTGTGCCGAAAGTCCGCAATGGCCAGAAAGAGTTGATGGTCAGCAGCATCAGAACTGCGGTATGTTGGTGCACAAACCAACACTACAAACAGGCGGCGCTTTTTTATATATCGAGAGGCGTTGAGCTTGATTGAGCCAGATAACCGGATGGCGCAGAGACGACTGTTCACTGGGATCTAATCCAGCAAAGCGCGTTCAGCTCTTGGGTTGAGTCGAACGCCAGCGCCATATATTCCACGAGTTATCGCTTCTGGATCACTGGACACACGGAGAGAGATGTGAAAGAGCTGAGTTCGTCCCTGGCGTTTTGAGATGCCTAACCACGCTTTGGCCTTGTATATGTGTTTCGGAGACAGAGCACATATCAGTTTTAAGGGAGTTTGAGGTTTCAACGTGCATTGCCTGTTTACCAGTGTGATGTAGAGTACGGATGTTAAAAACTCCTATGTAGAAAGCATTTCGTGGATTTAGAAAGGTGTTCTTCCGTTTATTGTTAATAGGCCGTGGGGACCATAAGGCCCTTCAGTCAGATAACTGACGGTCAGGTGACCCAGCAAGATTCACGTGTGTTGGAAAGGAGTTGGGGAGGGACATCGGTGGGTACAGAACTGTGCGGGCAAATGATGCTTCCCGGTTGCCCATGAGGAGCTTAAGGGTTTGGATGCGGTACCCCACCTTGAGCCTCTGACCCGAAAGTCTGACCCAGAGTGTAGTGGGAGGATGTAATTAATAGGCCGGAGCATAAGGCCCTTCAGTCAGATAACTGACGGTCAGGTGACCCAGCAAGATTCACGTGTGTTGGAAAGGAGTTGGGGAGGGACATCGGTGGGTACAGAACTGTGCGGGCAAATGATGCTTCCCGGTTGCCCATGAGGAGCTTAAGGGTTTGGATGCGGTACCCCACCTTGAGCCTCTGACCCGAAAGTCTGACCCAGAGTGTAGTGGGAGGATGTAAGGTTTTGTTCGCCCTGTCCCTAGTCTCTGACTAAAAAGTCTGAACCGCGCGGCAGCGGGCAGTAGGGGGGCCTCCCTTAGCGGATGACACAATAATCTGACCTGCTTGGCTGTTGGAAGTTGGCCCAACCTGAGCGCGCAGGGAGTAATGCATTACTGTCCCACTCTTGATGAGGCTGCCGCGGCAGGTGCCTTTTGAGCAGCACCATACTCTTTGGTTTTCGAAGTACTTCGTCGGCAGTCACCGTCAACTGTTGGGCGATCGAAGTGTGCGGTTTTTAGGGCCAACCTTTCCCAACCCATCCTTCCGCAAGGGAAGACAGCATCGCTGCTTCCATGAATACGGACATGCTGGTCGCCTGGAGAAACACTTTACTGCCTTCCTACTCATATTGCACTCATACCCCATACCGCGTCGTTACACGATTACTCGTAGTACGAGGTCCCGCTGCTCTTGGTTTGACTGCTCTCTTTTGGCCTTGCTGGCATGGTTGCACCTTGTCGAACGAAGTTCCAGCCAGGGTAGCCCGCGGGATCATTTCAGCACTCAAGCCCGACCGCCGCGTCAAGGTGTCAGCTTTGGGTCGGGATGTGGACTGTTAACCTGCACTACACTTTATTTTTTTATTTTCTAGCATGACGGTACGCATTAGTTAATTTGGGCATCGAACTGAGATAATCTGTTTACCATTACACGATACTTACTTCACTACAGGATTATGTGTGGTGATCCTCATCATTTTGGAAAGTCTTAGCAGAATTAGTCGGCGTCATACTCGTGTTTACGTCTTGTTTGTGGTCCGTTTACCGAAGACTGTCCTCGAACTTTGACCAGCCTGTCCTCTTATCCGAACACTGACTTGCACGTTTTATGAGTTATTCACTCAGTCGAACCATCAACCAGCGGTATTATCGGATTTCAACTAGTTTCTTTTTTTGTGGTTTCGTATGTTGTACACGGAGCCTTCCGATATTAAAATAGCCCGCTTCAAGTTTCTCCACTAGTTAAATGTCCTAATCATCGGCGGATGCTTGTTAGATTTCTCTAGTCATCTTCCGTCGGTCATAGCCCAATAAGATTGCTAGTGTGTTTCGCCTTCGGATATTCGGCGTTCTCAGCCTTGCCTTTTTTGGTACTGTCAGCAGATTGGTTTCCAGATGCTGATCTGTTTTGTCGCGTACTACCTAAAGTCATTCGTTTATCTTTACAGGTAAAAACAAATCATCCGTTAGTGGCACTCCGATGTCTTCTGGAAACGTACCCCTACGAGCCTCCCACTCGGTTTCTCCTGTAGACTCATCAATTTTATCAACCAGTGCACCTCAAATCGCCGGAATTTCGCAACATGGTGGACCAAGTGCTGGCACAGGTGCTTCAACAGCCTCGATAAAGTCGACGCAGTCTTCAGCTTGGACCATGTCTCCAACCTCCAACTTCGTGCACTTGCGGACGTTAGCTCCACAGTGGCTCGGCCCAGAACCCAACCGATGTTTGCGTGATCAAAGACCCGAAGCAAACACGTTACTTCGACTTCTTGGATCCTGGTTATTCGAGGCTTCTGTCGTTGGGGCCGCAAAAGATGTCAACCGTGAGTTTCTACAATCTTTGTGCTCTTTACTTTGAACGACGGTACTCGGGCTTAAGTTCCACATGAACATCCAGTCAGCACTCAGTCTATGGCATCATCTAGACTGATTCTCTGGTTTGTAGTCGTGTTGGCTCTGACGAATGTTATTATCGGAGTTTGACGTAGCGAAGGGCGCCAAAGTGAACCATCCGCGTTATGCGCCTCACTTGTCCTGGTCTCATACGTTTGGTAACCCTGTATCTCGCTTCCCCATTACACCATATGAGCCCCAGCTATAACACTCATTGTCAGCAGCTTGACTCATTGACCAGAACTTCACTTACTGCCATATCCACATCTTGATACAATGTCGGACGCCCATGCCATTTTGAACCCCTGTGGCTGCTGATTGGAATGGAGTTCCAACCGACCACCCCACCATTCTACCTTGGCCACCGGTGACATCCAACGAGTTCGTAGCCCTTCCAGTGAAATGCATCCTTTGGACTCACAATATGTATCACACAGATGTACGCTAGGTGTTTGATGCGGAGGAAGTTGCTGTCAACGCGGATAGCCACCTCAACATTAGCATCGGTACTTCACAGTAGAAAGAACAGAAATGGAGGACACCTAGCACTAGCTTACAACACATGTTCCAGGGTAACCAGCCGTCCGACCCGGACAGAAATTGACGGCACGAACGCCGGTGAACTAGTCTAGTGGCCGTACCCTACGACAGTCCATTCAAAGATTAAGATACCTCTGGCTGAGCAACTTCTCATGTCTTGTTAGATGAGTTCCATTGTCCTTAGTTTCCACGAAGCAATAAACCGTTTTCTGTGACTTCAATCGACTGTTTTCATTTGGTGATCACAGTTTCCAGATGGGTCGCTCTTAAATATTGAACAGACGTGGTTAGGTCAGCGCAGGACCATAAGCTATTGACGAAGCTCAGTACCGAAGAATGATGTGGTCAACTCATCATCCCAACCACATTGTTGATTACTGTGTTCATTGACTGGGCGCACCATCCACAGAAGTTTGCACTCTAATCTCAAATTGTGTGGCACTGTGAGTGCAACCCACAATAAAAATCAAATGAATTGGCCAAGTGATCAGTTGTACTGGCAGATGTCTGTTGAGCATTATCACACAAAAAGATCACCTAATGCTTTTTATACTTGTACACTGCACAACAGTGGTCGGAAGGATTCCCACGATAGCTGTCTTTGCGACCCAATTTTATTCTCCCTCCCATATGCACCCTTTCTTTTGTGAGCTAATATATTGGTAAACTTCTGCACTTCTCCAATAGACTCTTCGTGTAAGTCGACTAACTGCGGTGACCTGCTGTGTGGTTGCTGCTTCCGTTTGTGCGTGTGCTTTCTCTCATTCTTCCCCATATGTCACAATTCACTGTTTCCGAGTTCGACATTCCCATTTTCATGAGTGTTTGTGGCTCTGTCATTGTGAGTCTGTGTTCTTCCAGCACCAAACTGCGAATCACAATGACCTGGCACATACTCCAGCTTGATTTTGGGTACATGCGCCTTTCTAGACTGACGCCTGCCTGTAGACCAAAATGACTATGGAACCCGTCTCATTCTTGCTTTCTTTGGATAGATTACTTTGGTTGCTACGGAACGCTTTATGATGCATAGCGGTCCCTTTGGAAGGAGCGCGAAGTATAAGCGGTTTCATGCTCTTCATGCATTTTACTTACGAAAAGTATGGAGGCGACTTATAAATAGTTCGTGAGAGTAATATGGGAAAATCTATTCTGGTGGACAGGGGTTCATTGACCCTGTGTATTTGTAACTGAGGTATTCAACTGCACCACTATGGTTTTGTGTGTGAGTGATTACTTGGCTTGATTGGAATGAGAACCACAAAAGATGTTACAAGTGAAGGAAAATTCAGTTGTATCCACTGAAAAACACGTCAATATCAGGCCAATAACGACAATAGCTAAGCTCATCGAACAGATCGATTATCATCTGATCAAACACCAAAGACAATTTTGTTGGCACTTGTTGAATGAGACAGCTGGCTAAAACGACATGTAACGTTACCATCGTGGTATTGATTTTAAGGAAGGGTTATTTTTCAGCTTGATCGCTTCGCTTTACGATCAATGGTTCCTGTGTTTGGATTAGTCAGGTTCACAGAAGTTCCATGCTGCGGATACACACGAACGGCATTGAGAAGTCACTTTCGTACACAGCGAGGCCTAAGTTCCTAAAACTTCATATCCAACTTAGGCATGGTAATCCGGGTCTTAATTTTGTTCCCAAGACGGCTTTACCACTCTGGGCATTACGAAAGAACCTGTTCGACTTTGTACGGCTTGCTTTCAGGTTATTAGATAACGTTATCTCATCACTTCAGTCATCGCCGTAGGAGTTGATGTCTGGGACCCAGGTTATTGAAGCACCGTTCTCACCGAATTGGATGTTTTTATAATCTAGAATTGTGGACATTTCCACGGTGTAGTCGAGTGTCACAACCGTAAGTAGAGGTTAAAGGTATCTGCTTTGAGTAAATGAACTTTTATATATATATAGATATATATATATATATATATATGAGCTGAGGTCATTATTCCTTCATAAAGCCTTCATAATTTGCAGGAAAACTTCGTTGCTTTGCTAGGCTGGTGGTCCCCTTCCCGTTAGCTGGGGCAGCATAACCCAAGTATTCAAGTGCTATTCAACACAGCTACTTTATTAAATATGCGGAGACTTGCGCGTGTACGTTCGTGGTAAACTCTGGTTTTAATCACCAGACCAATAACTTNTGAGCTAACGCATTATTCCTTCATAAAGCCTTCATAATTTGCAGGAAAGCTTCGTTGCTTTGCTAGGCTGGTGGTCCCCTTCCCGTTAGCTGGCGCAGCATAACCCAAGTATTAAAGTGCTATTCAACACAGCTACTTTATTAAATATGCGGAGACTTGTGCGTGTACGTTCGTGGTAAACTCTGGTTTTAATCACCAGACCAATAACTTACCTTAGTCCATCGCGAATTTCTCCTGTGGGGGACTGGTCGTCTCCGCTAATGTTCCGAATTGCTACCACCCATGAACGGCGAAGTCGATGAACATATGTCCAGTGCAAAATATCATAGATGGTCAAGTTGCTCGGCATTAGTGATATCTAGGTACTAAGCTGTTATTCTGAGTGACAGTCCCACCCTACACAAGTCCTTGGTGCCAGTGGAAGTTTGTATGGTTCGTTTTCCGGTTGACGGAGGTCTGGTCTGAACCACTGAAATACCGACATTGATTAATGTCGGAACGATGCACAGTACTGTAGTAACGTTGTCTGACAGTCATTGGTGTTTCTGTTCGTTCTTCGTACTTTCGATTTTCGTTGTGGACACCAGTTGTCTAACACTTTGAGTCAAAGCGGAAGGTCTTACAGGGCTCAGCTTCCGAATCCATATTTTTAAACGAGTTAGTCAGTGTGCTCGCCGGACAATTAACTGGTTTGTACGTTCGCGTTTCTGCTGAAGCCTTTGGTCCCTCGGGCCCATATCTCCAAAGCAACGAACAAAACGTAGCAGTCAGTACGATTCCAGGTCTATCACACCTCTTCTCTTCCGTGTGCGTATTCGACACGGTTGTTCTGAATTCAGCAAATGAATGGTCAAGAAAAGCACGTTTCATCGTCCAATTTTGAAAGCACTTGCGACTAGGGACAACCACACTGGACTCCAACCTGAGCATTCTAGTCTATCTACATACAGTCTGGTAGTGTAAGGAATGTCTTTGCCGGAACACCAGTTGGATCGAATATCCGATTTTCTTCACGAACGGGCTTGTCTTTTACATGGGTAGTAATATCGAGATCCCTGGGTCTATCGGGATGATCGCAGTGGTCTAAATCGAATAAAACACCATACGAAAGGATTCCAGGGTGGCAAGCAAGTCCGTTTTGAATGTTTATCGGGATGCCCTCTCACTCTGGATAATTCTTGCTTCGAGACCTTCAACCAGCCCTGATTGTTGGCTTGTCACAGTTGTTGGTATACGGGACTGGTGCTGTGCAACATGGAGTCCGGGTCGGGTGATTGGGTGGGCGGTTAGTGAGTGGGCTGAAGCGCTCAGTGTATTTCGTTAGACTTTCGTCATTGTTGGTTGTCAGTTCAACATATTCGTTGCACGGGCGGAATTTTGGGCCTGCTGTTGATGAGATGCGACATACTAGGCCAAGGGTCTGAAAATTTTCCTAAATCCAGTTCCGTCTCAGTTTTGAAAGCTGTCCTGTCAGTAGCGTTGGCAACTTCTCTTGGCGATCGATTGTGTGAATGCAAATACTTAAAGTCAATTCTTCCCTCTGATGTAATGTGTCCCATAGATAACTAGTGGTAGCCTGCTGAGTGAATAACTCAGCTAATGGTATTTAGTCCTGGAAGTACAATGTTACCTAAACTTATCGGAGAGTCCAATTTTTTTCATTCCTGGTGAGATTAGAACGTCTCACAGACGGCTGTTTTCATTGAGTGATGGGGTAAAGTTTGAGTGCTGCAAGCATGATGCACACTTGCTTATTGTTTGAGCCTCCCGACACGATCGACCATTTTATTTGGTGTTGATCGAGTCCTTACAAGGATGTGGTGGGACTGGAAAAAAGGACACCAGTCGTTGGAATACCAAATGTGTAGCTGTCGCTTCAGATACTGAAAACGTGTTACTTGAGCTTCGCAAAGTTCTCCGGGCGATTCTCTTTCTCACAACGTTGTCCTACACCGACAGCACAGGGAAATCTTAAGCACCGGTATGCGCATTCCAGTCACCATGGCATGACTAGGGATTCGACCGACAACTGGCTGAGATTAATCATGGAACTAATCCTAATTAGTGACATCCGCAAACAGCTGACAGCAACGAACCAAACTGTCGTTTCCGAAGGATATTGGCCACGATAGAGGGCACAGTTTGTGAGGATGAATGGAGCACTTTGAAGCACTTGGTTACCATTTGAATTCTTTTTCATCCATAACTTTGATTCTACGTGAGTGAAAACCTTGCAGGCAGGTTACTTCTTCTCCGAGATCATCAAGGCCTCGCATTGTGAGTCTCCAGCTCCCAATAGCGGAGCTCATGTAAAATGGACTTTCGACTTGGAGGCTGTCAGCTTTTGTCTTGGTCACTTTTGCCACTGTGCTGATGCAGTTTACCCCGCTTCCGTATACGCCCTAGCATGAACAAAATTCTATAGAGAAAAACGTCGTTAGCTCAGGTTGCGTAGATGGTCGTTGGCTTGTTCGCTGAGCTGGGCACTTTGATTGCAAACGTTTCATCGCCAATCGAGGTGACATAATCAGTGCGTTATTGGAGAGCGTAGTTGTGCGTATTGGTGGGTTAGTGGTTGTGCACTGCGGAATTTTACAGCTGGGGCGTGTTGTCGGTTAGTATAGGGATTTTCGTATGTCCAGCATTCTGAGCACCTCACGAATTTTCTCCGAGCATGCACCTCCACCTTTTACAACCAGATGTGACGAGAGGGCAGTGACTGCACTGAAATATCATTGTGGCCGTTGGATTACGAGAGCTGTCTCACCAAGTCCATTGAAGGCGATAGATGGACGCGCTGTTGTCGGTCTAAAGTCTGGGTTTTGCTAACTCCCCGAAGAGACAACCAGCCGCCCTTGCAGTCAAGAACAGCTGTTTACGCTGTTAAGATAGGTCTGTCTCCCATTGGGAAGAGTTTACCATTCCTCTCTACTAAATATTATATCTTATGTTTGCTTTGGCAGGCGTCAACAAAACACATTGTTTATGTTTTTTTTCCGTTGCGCACGTCTTCTGTTACCCAATGGGCTCAAACCACACTCGAGGATGTTTTCGTCTCAATACGTGTCAGTGGGCACTATTTTCACACTGTCGATCGCACTCATTTTCGTGGGTACTGCATGCGATTACCCTGTGTGCTTTATAAAATTGTCTGCGAAATCCGTTGTTATCCGGTTTTCATGGTTTACGGATTTGTCTCGTGATACAGTCGTAGGTCTGGATCATTTGACCCTCGCTGAATACCGCATATCAATTTCGATGCGATGAGATTCATGCATATTCTGGTCCATCCAGTATACTGTTATGTACTCATTACAAGGCTCCACGCAGGTCATTGGCTCCTTTGATCTAAGCAGGGGACACCTTTAGGAAATCTCCAAACTAGACGGCTATCATTTCCAGCATGTATCTACTTTGTTCGCACGTCAGTGTCTTTTGCCGTAAACACTGATTTTCTGCCTTTATCCCTAAGATCCCTTATCCACCATTGGTGACACATGACTAGCATGCGAAGTAGACTGTTTGCTGCCGCATCTGGCTGACAGTTATCACGCCACACTTAGATCGTTCAGCTGTAGCACCCGTTCGGTGCGCAGCTGCCATGCTAATGGAAGGAGGCATGAGGGCTGAAATACGGCCAGGTTGTTCAAGCCTAGACAGGAGCAGTCGGGATGCTGAAGTTTGGTTCAAACCACGGACCTTGCGATCCTTAAGCTGGCCCCTTAAACACTGCGCTGTTCCGAGACCACAATTAGCTGTAAGTTGCTTTATGTTTAAGGGAGTTTCCCTTTGCTTGGGGTATTGGTGAATCAGACGTTCGTATTACCGATATATCGTTTGACCCAATTGGAAGAACTAGGACTATAGCGCAATCACCTATGAACCATCATTCCATCTGATAGGCACTTAGCTCTTTCTCTGTACACAGCTACAATATTTCTCTANTGCTGTATTGCCAAACGCACTTTTCTTCGCACATGCATGTTCCGAATCCGTTTGAAAATGTTGACTTGTTGAGCCCTTGCGCGTTCAACCCTTAGTATATTTTGGGAGAATTAATATAGGAGGGTACATTCAAGCCTAAAGAAAACGCAAGATCTGAAGTGCGAGTCTGGCTCGTACCTACACACTGCCAAGCCATCCTCATTTCTTTACATACGACAATTTCTACGATGACAACATTCGAATGACGGCACTTTCGACGTAAGTGCAGGTGGCAGAAGGGTATCACTGTTGAATAATCAATCAACCTAGATGACTTAATTGGATGTCGATTCTTCTTATCCCTGCGGGTTTTATGGTAAGTTAAAGAGATATATTGTGAGGTGGTTACACTACATGTGTTTTTGGCATACAGCTAAGTCCGAATCATGTCTTTAACGGAATATTTAGAAGATAACTCGGTGGAATTTGTTTTCTCTGGGTCCTAAAGCCATCTTTCTGACGGAAGCCTGTAAAACATATGCTAAAAAGGGAAACGCCTCACGGTGACCTTTAAGCCTCATTCGGAGATGTCGCCACTTTAGAGGCCAGTCAAAACTATGTCCCCTAGTACACCTAGGTACACCTGGGGCAGGCGTAACAAATTCAGCAACACAGAAAAACAAGTTTTAGTACTTACCTCCTGTTTATGAAGTATATTCCAACCTGAAACTTCGAACACAGAATGTCTCATCCCAAGGTTGAGAGTCGCTGTTGTGAATCCTATTTTAAATCAAATCCACGTGTTTCATTGGTTAACATGCCGTATGGTCAATAACTTGGACCGAGAAGTTAATATGACATTACTTGGGGTCATATTTTGCCCTAGTTTCGTGCTGCTGCGTGATGACGACCACTTAAAGGGACCATTATCGTGATTTGATGCAAGGATGAGGTATGTGGATAATAAAGAAATACATCATGGTACTCTCTCACAAATATCCTTTATTTTTACTCAAAACAGTTCGCGTTAAAAGTGGCATCTTTCTTTGCTATGATTTCCGACGACGCTCTTGTACAGATGATTTGGTATATTTCACTGGATTATGAGGCATACTTTGCCCAGTGGTTGTCAACCGAGAACAGCTCCTTTTTTTCACGCCAAACGAAGGGGATTAGCGAAAGTCTAAATGATATGGGTGCGCTTCGTCCTCAAGGATCGGATCCACGTAGCCTACCTTGTGTTGAGAGATATGGCAGCAAACCAGAGTCGATGACTGTCAGTTGTTGTCTATTTCGGCTGACTGCATACTAGAGGTCGGGACGCGTGTTTGGGTAACATTAAGCCCCCTCACCTTTCCACTTTTTATTTACATTTTGGGACTTTCATCACGTAAATTTGCAGCAAATAGGAACCGGTGTTTCAACACCGGACTTGCTGTTGATGATGTTACTTTGATTTCCCCGTTGAACCCTCGTATTGTGCCGCGCTACGGATAGAAAGCAACACTTCCGCTGGCTATTCAACACTCATTTCCACTTAAAAAGCGAAGGTCATAGACGCTGTTGGTGTGGTCAGTTCTTGGTATCTATCGGTCGTATGGTATGTTTCGGTTTTAACCAGCATTGAAGTGCAGCTATTATGATGCTAATTACTTACTGGAATCCTCATTACCCGAGGACAACTTTGATTTCTTATTTTTTTACCGCACGTGGCTTAGTTTTCTCTACTCTCATGACAGCTAGCCCCTTTGGAAACGTTTGATTTCAGGGCACAAACTTGTTTTGCTTATCAACGGAAGCTTCTTACACCTCTGGTTTTTCTCGAGATCATCATAGCTCCAAATGTTACCTTCAACTGGCAGGCTGTGGTCTGTTTTCATTTCGGATGGTAACTGTAATCTGAAAAACCTTCAACGGTTAACCTAGAATTGTCATAATCCTCATCAGCATGACATCAGTGTTCAACACGATGCGTCGCTGACATACAACCGTGATTTACTTGAAAGCCTTATTGTGAAGAAAAGAATAAAGGTGGACGGGGACTTATTGCTTGCTTACTCCCATGATTCCGAGGTCCTACACCTGCACTCATTCAGGCAGTCTGGATAGAAACTGGCAACAAGAACGCCACTGACATCGGTTAGCAACCATGCGTCTCCAACAGGCAGAGTGGGGATCACGCGGTCCCCATCCCGGAAGGCGTGTAGCACCGACAACACCCGATACCCCTACGTCAGGTCAAGGGTTGGACACCTCTGCTTACGCCACTCTGAGTTGGGCATGGAAAACAGCTTTCTCTTCGGCAAACGATGGCTAGGCATGCGCAGCACATGTTCCAACCGACGTAGTTCCTGGTGCTGGACACATTCTTCAATGGAAGTGCCCGTTGCACAACCGAAAACGCGCTAACTGCCTCGTTACGGATTCGCCGACAACAACCCACACGAGTTATGGCTCTGAGACAACGATTGTCGAACACCTGAAGACGTCTCATTTCCGCTGCTCGAATAGGCCAAGTCTCACATCCATACAACAAAACAACCCGTACTTTAGCTTGACACACACGTCCCTTGAGATCCAGGGATAAACTACTCTGACGCCATAAGTGTCTCAAATTAGCAAACGCGGTCCGAGCCTTGGGGATTCGTGCATTTACCTCATCTGTCACACTACAATAGTTCAGGTGCTGTTCTACCTGCTTAGCTCTATTAGGATGCAAGTTTTCCCTTTGTTACTTGGACATTTGCTACCTTAATGGGTCTAATCATTTTCTTGAACAACTTAGACGTTTTCGAGAAATGCAAATACGTTTGCAAATCAATCTGGTTTTCACGAGAGACTCAACTGAATCTCTCGTTTATGATATCCTACAACTGAATGTGTTGCACACAGGCCGCCTCATGTTCCAGTTGGCATGATATTCGAGCTATCGCAGTATATTTTCGTAAACGAGAGATTCAGTTGAGTCTCTCGTGAAAACCAAATTGATTTGCAAATGAGTGTATTTCTCGAAAACAGTCCAATTTGGGTTCAAGTAGGACATAAGGTTGACGAAAACCCGGGGATTGCGCCTACCTGATGAACCCCAAGAAGGGCGAAGCCGGTCGTGGGCTGTCGAAGAGTTTTCAGCAACCTTGTGAGTAGTTTCCCTTGTGAAGTTTAACCAGTTGTTATTTCGCACTTTGAGGTTAACAGATGTGGATACGGACTGAATCTTGATCAGGCCCAAATTAGTGCATTGAAAAAATTGAATCGGTTGCGCCTACCTAATGAGCCCCAAGAAGGGCGTGGGCTAAGAGTTTTCAGCAACCTTGTGAGTAGTTTCCTTGATAAAAGAACTTAAATGTTTGTTAATGTTACTCAAGAGTGGAGATGAGGTTTGACGTCGACCCTTTTTGTTCGCAAACATGTGAATCATGGCTCTTTTCATGTCTCCGTATATCTAGTTTACGTTCGTTAATTTGCTTTCCTTTGTGTTACTATAAGTTGCACATTTAGCTCTCCGAAACACCTTGGGTCGTGAGAGCTATCAGGTTCATAGCACTTCCTGTCTTCCAAACATCGTCACTATCGTTGTTTTTCCGTTTTATTTAACTTTTCTGGCATGCGCATTTCTGGCTTTTGTCTCACCATTGCTACATACTCGCGATTGCACTGGAGACACCTGTTCGCCACACTGTGTCAAAAGCTCTAGTTACGTACTTGTATTCAGTCCAATGTATTCAGCCACGTTTTAAGTAATCGGGTCGAGGGACCTAGCTCACGTTATCTAGTGATCTAACAAATGGCCTCGGAAACCAAGATACTTAGCATAAATACCTGAGACTCCCAATAGGGTTACTCGCCTCCGCTTTAGCGATGTGTACATCAAAATCAACAAAACCAACAATTTCCCCTATAGAAAACATCAAAATCAGCCACCTTGACGGTTTTCCGAAGTCACTTTTGTGCATTAAGTGCATAAAACATGTACCCTGACCGCATTTTACGAACCATGACCCATGAAGGAGAAATAATCTGGAATGTTCTACATCCATTTCAGCTGTGTCTTTCATGTCACGCTACTTCGAAAGCTATTACTATAGAGCGTCTTCCCAGGTTACTGAAAAGTATTTGTCCCATTATTGGAACCAATTACAGGCTCAGTTATGCAAAAAATGTTCCGTTCTTTATCTATCCCTGGTTGTTGGAAGCCGAATTCTTTCTCTTACTACCCACCTTGTCACATATGGTAGATACCTATGAAAAATTTGTTGTTTGTTGCTAAGGCGAATTCATCGTACCGCCGCTCTCGTGTCTCTTCGTTTCCCCGAAACAAAACTTGATGCCATCGCGTAAATTTCGGCAGCTAATACGCCGATCATCGTTCGTGAATGTAAAACGGCATCTTCGTGCACCTAACTCGACGCCGTGATATTTCATCGCTTTGTGTGTGCAGGGCTATTTGTTGGTTCTCGTACAATTCAGTCTCGCGGTGAAAATATACTGTCGTGCTTATTCATTGGGGCAATTTCGCTGAATGAACTTACCTTAGACACCTACTACATTATTGTACGTGCATTCGATGTAAAAGGAATACAATCAAGCTGTGCGGTTTACTGGAAAAATGCACACATTTTCTTCGTTGAAACAAGAGCCCTAAAGTTAGTTACTGGGTTGGTATTTATCGAAATGCACTCATTTGCATGCTGATTAGGTTTTGAGGGCAGACTGACCTGGAACTCAGCCGAATCTCTCGTTTATGATGTGCTTACTGTGAGTTTTTTGAGGTCACTCTCAAGGTCAGTGTTTTTACGTATGATCGGTTGATCACTTTTGGCTAGTTGTCGAACGGCTATAGGGATGTGAGGATGGCGTCATCTCGGTGGCTTGCATATTGCGAGCGTGTGCAGTTGATGGGTTAACGTGACATTCTCAACCTTTTCACTGTTCTCAGTATGCAATCTATCCAAGGGAGATGATTTTAACTGGCCTTCAAAATTCTTCATAAGATAATCCCCATTGAACAATACTTCCAGGAAGCCAGCATTAAACGGCTCATAAGAACAATCACCTTCTCCCCTTTCAATTTGAAATGCTTGTTAAGTTATGACTCAATTTACCCATCTCGTATGCTCATAGTAAAGTGAGCTTTCACCACTTTCCATCTCAAAATGTCCGAAGGAAAACGTAAGAGTTCAGCAGATACGTGTGAATTATGGTTGAGTTGTTGACTGCCATGTGCATATCGAACTTGATATGTGACTGGACTTGGTTGGGAAAACCTAATCCAACTGTTCAGTTATTGCGGCCTACTTAAGGAACACCCTCACATCCCAATATGGCAACTGACTGAATGGGTGGGTTGAATGTGTCATTTGCTTTCTAATTCAGGGAAGTGGGAGACGGTTTCGTCGCTTTGCTTCTGTGTGATTTACGGTCGGTGGTATCCTGATGTATCAATCGTTGATTGGCTCCGTGTATGCACCTTGTGTAACTTTAGTTTCATCTGGTGAAATATACGTCTCTTCCTTGTAATGCGTGCGTTCGAAAAATGAACGGTGTGGCTTCCAGACCACCGGTCAGCTAGATTTGAGTATATCAGAAGCGATTGCTCTCCTCATCCGATGATTATAGTATGTGCTTCCGAACGGAAGGTGCTTGGCACTCAGAACAGCAATTGTCCGGATACATGAGATGAGCTTCACCTTGCAACTTTGTTTCATTTGTCAAAAAAGTGCATTTCTTGCACAGAATGTGATGCGTGATGCGCGACTGGTAAGGGCTGACAGGTACAGCGGCACCGGTCGAGCGTGTGCGGTTTTCCGACTGGTATCCCTGGACTGTGTTGGTGGCGTTGAGTGAATGACTTGAACAAAATATCTTTTTAGTCCCTCAACCAACTCTGCAGTGTGAATGCAGTTGGACAGATACTCAAACTATCGAATTATTTATTTTTTTAGTAGTGTCATACCCAGGGTGTGCTTTGTGTCGTGCACAGCAGCACAGAACTCGATTCTTCGGGCCGTGTTTTAGGTTGTTTTGTTAATGGTAATGTCCAATTATGTGATTGGCTAGGGAGGTCATTTCGAAAAGGTGACTGGCCTTGGATATCTTGAAACACCCCAACGTAATGAAATGAGCCATCTCCTAAAACTTGGGACTATCCTGTTCGAAATTGATTTTCATTTTCATTTTGGACTGAATCAAACCAAGCCGAGCTTATCGTGCAAACTGATCTGTATGTTCATCGTACCAACACTGTCCATTTTCTCTCTTCCCATGTGTTCCTCTTCATTTCCTTGTCATTCCATTCCCGTCCAGTTGCCGTTATTTCAAATCGCTCAGAGCAGTTCCCTGCGCATTTGAATTTTCAAGTTGGTCGTGCGGAAGCGTTGGGTGCACTGTGTCGTATTATGTTGTACGCCAGACGCGGTCAATTGGCTCGAGAGTATCTCGTTCGTTTCTTCCTCTGTCTTCACTATGGATTGGAAACCGAATTAGGCGTGAGTATCCTCCTACCACTTTCTCGTTGATTATAGTTCGTATCTCTCAGCGCACTAGTCAGCTTGGCGTATTCTAACGTACAAACTAAGAAGTTTTGAAGCACTTTGTAGTGAGATGTTAACTTCAAAAACCGAGGTCATTTCTCCAAAGTAGAATCCGGGCGCTCTACCTGTTAGCGCGTTTATAGCATCTAACGAGGCTCTCTCAATGCACTACTAACATACTGGTATTGTGGGGAGATTTGGGAATTTCATCCTATAAGTGATTTCAGTCAGTACTGAAGCACTATGCAGATGTTTCATCCTTATTGGGAGCCATCAGCAGTGTACATCCGTCGGAACTATAAGGAGTCTCGCACCTGTGACTCTCCAGCCTGTAGGTTAAAAATTTAACCGATCGGCCATGAGCGGCTGATTAGCATTGTGATTAACTCGCACTGAAACAGGACGTGGTGCGAAAATACTAGCTAGGAAGTCGCTAGCTTAAGACTCCTTGAAATATCATGAGATGCGTTGATGATTCCCAATACGGATGAATCGCCTGTACAGTAATTCTCAGTTTTTCAGCATAGATGAGCTTCACTTGCGGGCCGAATTCTCTATTAATTCGTGACAAATAATGTTATTAATAGTAATAGTTGAGCTGTAGCACTCTTTGGTGCCTAGCTGCCATGTCACCTGAAGGAAGCTCGAGGGCTGAGATACTGTCAGGTTGCCCAAGCCTAGATGAAGCACTCGAGATGCTGCTACTGGTTTCGAACCGCGGACCTTCCAGTCGGTAACTTTGCGCCCTAACCACTGAGTTATTTGAAGCTCACCTCTTGATACTATCAATCAATTACGGTAAGAAAAAATACCCAGTCGTTCAGTCTGACGTTGGTTAATCTTTTACGTGGTAACGCGAGAATGCTAGGGAGAACGCTAAATCTAAGTCTAATTCGATATTATTGAATTGTGGTCATAATTTCCATTTTTCTAACCTGAGAAAAGCTAATTTAACTATATTTGCGTAATTTGCGGAACCGGTTGCGTATTTTGTGACACGCCCAAGGAAATCACTATTAAACATCTCCAGATCCTCAAACTTAATTTGAAAATATGGTCACCAATTTTCAAAAGTGGAAACAGTTCGCGTGGTTCGCCAGCCTCTCGCGAACGATTTGAGCTATTTTGTCTTGTGTATGTAACGGGAGATGGCTTAGTCGTTTGAGCGCGAATTTACCGACCGGAAGGTCCGTGGTTCTAACCTGACCTCCTTCTCTCGACTTGCCCTGTCCAGACTTGGGCAACCTGGCGGTATCCCAGCCCTCGTGCTTCTTTCGGGCGGCATGGCAGCTAGGCACCAAAAGGGTGTTACAGCTGAACAATGTTGATGTAACGCTTTGTGACAGGCTTAATTCAACACGCTTTTCAACAGAAAATTGAGTTGTCGAGATACCACCGCTTGGAACAAGTAAATGCGCCATAAATCCAATGATTCCAAAAAATATTTGGGTTGCTTATCTATCTGGAACAATGTTCACTGGGCCGGTGAGAGTGAAAACGAAGTAGTGTACCACCGTCAGATTGCATGACATTCATGTACTGAACTATAACTCTCCCTCTTGGATTGTTAAGCGAACCTCCACCTGACTCAATGCAAATGCTGGGAGGAGGTCAGGCCACGATGGATAGATGTGTTCTGTGTGCACATCACTTATCTTACCTAATACGTATCCCTTCTACTTACTAACTTGTCTACTAATTTAGTCAGTATCACTACAATTGGTGCTCAGAAACTGCACTCAGCTTAGCTGACTAGGTAGTTTCGTCGCGGCGCTTTTTGAGGTTCCTGAATGCCCCCATCTTGTGTGGCATGGTGCATACTCGCTTTTTCGCTGTGGACCGTTGTGTACTGTTATATCTGACTGCTGTTCCTCCTTCAGTGCCCAGTGCCGGAAAAAGACTCATCGATAAGGAACATATCAGCTTTATTGTGAGATCGTGAGTGCAAAAATACAATGGCTAGAGACATTGTCAGACATGGCCCAGTCGCGCCCTCAATGGCGCTCGTGCATCCAAGGCTATTGCCTTCAATGCATAGCTCCTTTTCCAATCCCCTCACTTGACAGCCCACTGACAGTGCTGGATTTATGCACCAATTTACCAGCTCGCGCGTGCAATGCGCAGCTACCTACCCCCCCCCCACCCAAATCATCGGAGAACGAAACTGTGGCAGTTACAACCAGTGTACGCCGAGTACGCGGTTATTACAGCTGACAATCATGATGATGATGAAAAATACAACGGCCTCAAGCTGTTTCATTGGAGGGATATTGCCTGGTCGTGGTCCAACGCTGTCCGGCTTTAAAACAAGACTGTCACGCGCTGTATATTGAGGGGTGTTGTCTCTCTAGTCAACATCTAGTGGAGTTGAGGGTTTCAGTAGATTTCGGACATTCAGTTGTTACTTTCAGGAATCTGACCTTCCTGATACTTAGCTTCATCTCCTGATGAAATCTCGCTGTTGAAGCACAATAATTACGGGGGTCATGAGTGTACTATATAATGATTCATTGCTTTTGTACTGGGATGTGCACCGTTCCGCTTTGTGATTGAAATAAGCCCACAAGGCAAACTTCTTCGTTATGTCAGCTGAGTAGATTGATACTAAGTCTCTCACCTTCAGCAAGAGATATTGCCCTACTCTCATCATTTCTGACATCAGTGCCCATCATCCCCTAAATCCCTCCTCAGTCGTTCAGGGGTATCATTTTGGTCACAATATGATGTAACTTGAGATTAGCTGTCGTTCGCCCTTTGACACTCACCCATGGTGTTCAAAAAGGCGAAATGCGCTGTGACACCTAGCTCGAAATAGCTCGGTCGTTAAGGCGCCAGCTTACGGATTGGAAGTTTCGTGGTTCGAACCTAGCTTCAGCATACCGACTGCTCCTTTTACGGATTGGAAGTTTCGTGTGAACCTAGCTTCAGCATACCGACTGCTCCTGTATGCTTGGCAACCTGGCAATATTTCAGCCCTCGTGCCCCTTTCTGTTGGCGTGGCAGCTAGGCAGCCTACGGGTGCTACAGTTGAACCATTTTTTGTGACACCTAGTTTTGAAAGATGTTAGATTATGTCTTGTGGGCCTTTGGGCTCAAATCGGTGAACACCCACCGTTGCCTTGCTTGCTGTTCTTTACGCCACACGAAGGTCAGCGTACACAAATCATAATGGTGTGAATTTGTGTGTTCGTCTTATCTACAAACGGTATATTCAGTCAGTGTTGAAACAGTTGTACTCGTATCCGAATTTCACTTTTAATGAGTTTTTTGAGGGCTCTGGTGCCATATGGCTGGAGAATCGCCTCTGAGGCTTACCAGTGTTGAACTGGTTCTAACAGTTTTTTCGAAAAAAGTTTGGTGACAATCGGTAGATTTATTCTAACAGTGTTTGTCTGATTACGACACGTTCACATTGCGTTGACTGCTTGAACCTGAAAACAGGATGTCCCAACTTAGTCTCACTCGGGGGGACAGCCAAGTATGTGCAGATAGCAATTGCCAATTTGGTGATTATTTCTTGGCTTATCCTGTGAATTATGCAAGTAAGAGTAACTAAGATCATCGTACATGAGGATTTAAGCACTATTCCTTGCAGCTCCCATTACCTCTTCTAATAAAGACGCTGCGTTAACACTGAAGTGGTTAGCAGGTGTGGAAATCAATTTTAAATTAATGTTTGCACGTATGTCCAGCTTTTGTTACATTTCTTGGTACTGATTGGCTGCAGCAAAGCTGATCTGATCAAACACTCTATCTATCGAACCTGTATGAATCAAGCCCCCCCCCCCTGTATCATCACATGTTGTGTGTCGCTCTAAATTAGGCTACGCATTGTGAGTTTACCATGTTGTGTGTCGCTCTAAATTAGGCTACGCATTGTGAGTTTACAGTCATGATCTCTTGCTGATTCACATTCTTTTATCTAGCGCAGCGACTATGTCCTGTCCACAGTACTGTTCTACTCTATCGACTTGCTTCGGGTCGATTTACCGGGAATAAACATTATCTTGCCACGCCTATTCGCCGCATGTCAACTCGTATTCAGAGATGCAAATATAATGTGAGTCCTCTTCTGCCGCTTTCGTGTATATTACTGAAAAAGCCATCAATAAGGTCCACGTGGATAAGGTGAAGAGCCAAAACAAGGTGAATCCGTCCGCAGATTGGTTTCCCACTTATCGGGATAAGGGAATTGCATATGTTCAATGCGTCTATCCCTCTGGGTGCTTTAAAGGACGCGGAAGAACATCTGCACACCTACTGAACAGAGATATATTAATACTCGTTGATAAGTTCGAAACAAGTGTGAACAACATACTGTGTACTTACAGCATTACCAAAACTTATTTAATTTCTGGACATCTCATTCAACTGACAACGCTTATGAATCAGTACGCACGTGTAAAATGCCAATACTGGGAATTCATCTGTTTTTGTTCTGCTCGCCGAGCTTGGCGTTTGAATTGCAAATGATTCATCAACAATCGAGTTGGCATCTTCATTGCGGGAATGAGTGGGTCAACTCAAATTCGCGCTGATAAAGTCACTCCGACAGGTGAGAAAACGCCTGCAATCCAACTACCGAGCTCGGTGAATAGATTAGCAACTAGCAGCGCACCCGAGCTACCTATATTCCGCAGCATCGCCAACCGGAAATTGCTTCAGATGTTTGTGATCCGGAACATGTCTGCGTAAGCTAGGTGAACCATCGCTGTCTGATCTTCAGGTGACTTCATTTAAAAAGGCTCGCTTAAACCATGTTTTTAGGAAATGAAACCGTTCATAGCGGAACTATGGGATCTGTAGCTTGGTCTTGCTCACGTCAGCCCGATTTTTCAGTCGTATCTAGTACTCTTGGTAACTCTCCCCACCCTAGTCAAACTCCATCAACGAGAATTCCATAATTACGGGGTCCTCTGTAAGTGCAAGAAGTTATTTGTGCCCCTATATTGTACTAGGGTTTCTGCGTAACGTCAAATGCTCAACTTATGGGTACTTGTTACGACTAACCATAAATCCGTAGTGATGGAAGAGGATTCACCAACCATGAGCACGTTGCACTTATTATGAACAAGCTAGTGCGAATATTGAGAAGAAAATTGTGTTATTCATGGATAGTTTTGTTACTTTGATTCTAGAATATCCTATTGGCGTTGGGGTTCACTTTGTGTGTAGGACATGCTCGTCGCTCCAACTTCATTGTTAGTTGCTGACTAGGCGCTTGGGCGTCCAATGAATAGCTTACTTTTCCGGCTAGGAAGTCCGATGGCTTCTCTGCTGCGATTTTCGTAGGGTTTGATTCCCAGTAATCCTCTTTAGCTTCTGGTGTTATTTTCAGAAATTCTGAAGGAATCCTTATGATACACTACTTAGGGGGAATACTTCACAAAGCTGAGTAGAGACTGGAGTACATGCCTGGGGGATTACGACCAAATGATTTCACTGTTACCTCCAACTACCGGTTCACTTTTTTAATTAAAAGAAGAATCCCAAAATAAAAAGCGGATAGAAGCCCAAGCCAGTGAAGTTCTATGGCTTGTTGTCTGTGCGTTCAGGAACCTCAACGCCGTAGGTACGAGCATCAGTAAGTGGACAGGCGAGTAACTTCACTTGAGTGAGGTGATGGGTGCATCATGAACGTATGCTGCCGGGGCTTTCGGTTCAAGCAATGAAGCCAGTCGGAACTGTATAAACGATTGCTCTGTCTGGTATAACCCTATATGTTAGATCATTTTGATGCGTTTACAGCCAGTCGTCACCGAAAAGCAACTTACAGGTTAACACGTGTAGTGTTTCACCACAATATGTCGTGTTGTACGCATCAGCGTTTCGGAGGACCAACGTACATTAATATCCACCGTCACCGTAAGAACGCCCGCATTATATCATGGACTACTGATGTAACCCAAATTGTGCGTTTAATGTAAGAAAAAGCAAACCGTTCAGGATTATGCATGTGGCGTTCCACTACTCCACTCTGCTTCTATAAGAGCCGGGCGGGTAACTGGTTGGAAAAATACCCCATATGGACGCAAAATATTTTAGCCGTTGTTTGTTCAGTCATTAGATCTTTCGCTAGAACAAACTTAGAACGGCTCTGTTCGCTCGTCAGATAAACTATTGACGATTCATTACTTCTGACTAATTACTAACGACAATATTATTCTATCGAATCGGTTACCGTTCTACATGAAATCCACGTAGAAATATCTTCTTAACTGCTGCTGCGAACCGCTTTTCCAGACGGCCAGAATTTATCACCCCGACGTTGCTGAGGCGAGCGGCGCTTCATCATCTCATGGCTATGGTATGCATCCCTGTGCAATTCAAAGGTCTGGTGCTTCGATGTGAGTCCTCACCGTTGTTATCACTTCGTTTGACGTGCTCCTAACGGATGGTCCCCTGTTCGTCCAAAGCATTTCAAATCTTGGCTGTTGACAGTACAGTTTTTGTACAAAGAGGAGTCTGTAACGTTTTTCTTCAATTTGTCCGATTGCAGTAAACGTAGTATCCGTTAGTAGTGTTGCCTCATCCCAGCTCTCCATCTGATCCGCCAGAGCTGCCGTCCTCAGCAGAGGAACCACTAAGGGTACAGTACACGTGTGTTAAACGCCTAAAATCAAGCAAAAGTCCATGTGTATCGTGTCAGGTTTAGAGGTATGCAACGACATCCTTGAAGTTCTGACGCCTTCTGGGTGCAGCACTGGTAACTGACATGTCGTGGATACTGGGACGAACCGGAGTTTGCCTTAATGCTGAGCCAGCGAGTGGCTTGATTTTCCGACCATTCACATGCGCGTTCGGTTTATTGGCTGTTCTAGCACTCAAGCGGGCGCGGTAAGGCGTTTTTGATATGGCGTCCGGTCGAACACTCATGTTGCTTTGGAGACGGCTACCGATATCCTGGAGAAATAGGACACAACTTCTTTTACCTTTCTCCTGAACCATCGATTGCAGTATTTCAGTCATAGCAGAGCGCTTCGTCCTTCCTCATGTAGGAAGTCGATAGAACTGTCTCTGTTTGAGCTGCATTTCCATCCGGATTGGGAAGACCAGAGCAGCTTTTGCGAACCTACGTCACCTGTGGCGTAGGCGTGACATCAGTTTCTCTGTCAAGGATCGAGTTTACAATGCTGCGGTGCGCTCCATATTACTATATGGATCAGAAACCTGGCCGCTGCGCGCCGAGGACGTCAAAAGACTTTCAGTGTTTGACCATCGATGTCTTCGGAGCATTGCCCGAATCTGGTGGGAACACCGGATCAGCAATTCTGAAGTACGTCGAATGGTATTCGGGAGAAATAACTCACCCTCGATAGATGAACTGATCACACTGCACAGGTTGCGCTGGCTTGGCCACGTGCTGCGTATGCCAGTCGACCGACTTCCTCGAAGGGCTCTTTTCGCACAACCATGTGAAGGGTGGAAGAGAGCCAGAGGCGGTTAAACAATGACTTGGCAGCGAAGTATGAAATTCATTACCAGCAAACTCAGCTGCGCTGGTCATTGCCGTCTTCCTGGATGGGGACCCCGAGACCGGCCACATCAATGGCTAGAGACATTGTCAGACATGGCCCAGTCGCGCCCTCAATGGCGCTCGTGCATCCAAGGCCTTCAATGCATAGCTCCTTTTCCAATCCCCTCACTTGACAGCCCACTGACAGTGCTGGATTTATGCACCAATTTACCAGCTCGCGCGTGCAATGCGCAGCTACCTACCCCTCCCCCCAAATCATCGGTGAACGGAACTGTGGCAGCTACAACCAGTGTACGCCGAGTACGCGGTTCTTACAGCTGACAATGATGATGACGATGATGTTTGAGCTGCAGGCTTTAGGTATTGACTGTGGTGAAGATGATAACCAATCCTCTCTGTCGTCCTTGTGAGTACCACCCAGTGGCTCATCACTTAGTGACTGGTTAGGGTTGCAGGCCGGTTCCCTTGTTTTCACTCTTTTCTCAAATTTTGTTGTTTTCTGTTGTAATGCATTTTATTATTGCATTGTCTTTTTTAATTTGTTTGTGTCCATATAGTGTATCTGTATATTGTATACCTGGACGAAACCATCGCGGAGTCTTAAGCTTACAAAGGTAACTGTGTGACTACCGTTGTACAGACCATATAATGGCTAGTACTGACTGGCCTTGGGTGCGCCCCCGTCAGTTGTGCGCGTCACCAGACTACTCTTCGCGTACACTGAATTGTACAGTTATGGACCATCAGCCGGGCGTACTGATGGCCTTAGTACCGCCCTCGCTTGTTAATCCTGTGGTTTAATTCCCTGGTGTTTGTGTGCGGTGGTCCATCGGTGTATGTCGAAGGCTAATACGGAAAGTGTCGCCAGCCAACTATGGACCGTATTTAGCACACTTGGACACCTCGTAACTCTGAAGAGTGTCGTACCTAGTCACACGTTCAAACACCTCTAAATAATCGTGTTCGGGGGCCAGCCGTCCCTACTAACCGAACAGCACATCATTTGGACGGATGTGTCACGTGCAGGACACGGGCCAAACGAAGGCATGCCCTGATTGGTCAGAATGCCAGCCAATCCGAGTCAAGCACCCGTGACTCGACGCTTCTCGCCCCCTCACGGAGATTCTGGCACGACCTTGCGGAACACACTGTGACTACCCTATAACTACAGTTGTACTGATTTTCCTTTGTCTTCATAAAGGGCTGTGTAGAGCTACCGTGCCTTTTGATATACCATAGTGGGCGGAGCAGGAAGCAAAGGGACCGATACAGAGTTGCACTACCGTTCAGCAAGCCATGACAAATCGATTCACTGTTTGGGTTACAGTCACCTGTAATCTCAAAGCCTTCGTTGTTTACTCTAGTGAACTTTGTGCATGAACAAGCACTCACTGTCATTGATTCTTTTCTGTGGAGCAATTTCATAGAGTCGTCAGCCTCCATGTACCATCGGATTATGGCTTTCTGGTTTCCAGACATATTGATAAAAGTTACACTCATCTTTCAAATCCTCTCAGGTTTGATTCCTGTGGCGAATAATCCCAAAGACCCACCGACGATGAATGACTTGAGACGTCAGTTGGCCTACCTTTTGTGCGACTCTTTGGAGCGGGAAAAGGACCCTGTCAATTTCCAGATGTTACTTAGTAAGTTTTAGAGTTCCCTTCATTTGTTTTCCTTCTTATACAAACTCAGAAGCATCTCACGGCTAGGTTCACTACTTTCTAGATACTAGTTAATTTACCTAACACGTGTCCGTTTTATACCATCTCATCTGATTGAGCATTTCATCCTTAGCTGACCGATGGTTACCGTTTTACCTATCTGTTGCAGCTACTTCACTGGCACTACTGGAGGATATGGCAGCTGACGAACAGAGTTCTCGTACACCTTGTCCTCCTAACCAAACCGCAGAGGTCAACCGTAAACGTAAGTTGCCTGATCGAGGTGTCTCCATTTTCACCTATTTCCGGTAGGTTCCGTATGCTACCAGGTACGCTTCTCTTCAACATTCTTCACTAAATCAGATGCCTTCTGTAGTGTTGATCATGGCTTGAATGAACCTAGTAAAACCAACCATAGCCCTGTAGTTGAAATCGTCCAGATCAGCCTTCATGTCACGTGTTGCGTTGCACACTTGTTCGATTCGTTATTTAACCTCCATTTATCTCTATGGCTGTAGATGGTTGGTTATGTGTGACAGGCTTCTATCGTGTAATGATGACTTTCTGTCTGCGTTCTGGCGCATGCTTGTGAGCTGTACTCTTTATTTAGATCAGCTGTTTTACGGAACACCAGCAATCGTCTTCTATGCCCAAGTTCGCATAGAAAACGCTGAGTGTACTCGGTTTCAAGGTTCATCGACAGACCACTCGCCGCATTTGGACAGTACCCCGTAATCCCGCGTAACGAAAGATTTGTATTTCAGAAGAGATTGGTAAACAATTAACGAAAGATTTTCAGAAGAGATTGGTAAACAATTGGTAGTTTTTATTTGGGCAGCGTTTCGCTTTTGACACAAAAGCTTCATCAGGCCAGGCCAAGAGGTCACAAAATTGGCCAGGTTATAAGACAGACGGGGAACCAATCAGTAAGTTCTCTTCAGACTAAATCAGTGTTGAGTGTCAATTAACGGCTCTTGTCGGCTAGTGTGGGTGCCAAAATCTTGAATCGATGTGTTGGAGGGTTCCAAATTAGTTCCGATCGCTTTCCGTTCCTTAATCTTCCACTTCAGAATGCTTCACCTGATGATTCGCCTCGGGTGCCGCTGTTAGATTTTCCTTAGTCTTTGTGGGGTTGTGAGTGTTCCGACAATTTAGTTTGAGGGGGGTTGAGGTCAAGTGGAATCCAAGTGATGACTACTCTTCCTACTGATGACCGCACACCAACACGTGTCAGCTCGAGTGACCCAAGACCGTTCTCCACACGCTAGCCAGTTCTACGCCTTTCATTCTGTTGACGCTGGGATGCTTGGCGATTTCTACCGCCTCGGCGATCAGTCTGTGTGACGTGGACCGTAGTCCTCGCCTCAAAACCTCAACATTTTCTAAATCTATTTTGTGTCCTGTGTCTAGTGCGTGTTCCGCAATCGCCGAGTCTTTCAGTAACGCTTGATATTCATCTGCGTTTCTCGGCGGCCTGTTTATTTTTCTACTATGCTCTCCGACTCTGATGTATAGTTCCCTGGCCGTCTGTCCTATATAGACTTTGATGCAGTCATTACACTTGATTTTGTAGACACAGTCCCTGGTTCTGTTTGCCGGGAGGCGATCCTTCAATTGCACCAATGCAGAGCGCAGAGTGTTCCCCCTCTGGAAAGCTACTCTAATGTTGGCCATGTTTAGAATTCTTCGAATTGCCTCCGATGTCCCTGGTTTATATGGAATAACAGCTGTCCCAATCCATTCCCTGTTGGGTTTCTCTACCGGTATCAACACCCTTCGCAATTGACGCCTAATCAAGCTAGCTGGATATCCACTACCCCGAAGTTTGTTTTTTACCTCAATTTGGGCCGCTGTTCGATCGGCTTCTTCTGTGCACAGGGCCCTTACACGCCTAAACATTGATGACGCAATACTGGCGAATACCGACTTCGGATGGGCAGACGAGTAGTTCAAAACTGCCCCAGTGTCGGTTGGCTTTTCATACACTGTGGTCTTTAGTCTCCCCCCAACCTTATGTGTCATGCAGTCTAAGAAGGCCAGTTTACCCGATGTTGACTCTATCTCCATACTAAATTTGATCTGTGGACTCAGTTCATTCAGATAATTGTAAAACTCATTAACCTTGTCCCGTTTCATGACGACGAAAGTGTCATCTACATACCGCCAGAATATCTTTGGTGGGTGTGGGAATCCGGCTAAAGCTCTCTGTTCAAATTCTTCCATAAATATATTTGCCAAAACCGGGGATATTGGAGATCCCATTGCTAGACCTTGTTCTTGAGTATAAACCACTGAGTCAAAGATGAAGTGGGTGAGATTCAGACATGTTTTTATGCCTTCCACTATTATTTCATCTACCGTAAGCTGTTCGTTCCGAAAAGGTGGTGTCCGCTAACAGCAGTCGCCAATCTCTTCTGAACTGATGACTTCTCAATCGGTTCCAAACTATTTCCAATTGATTGAAAGATTTGTATGTTTTTCAAGGCTATAATAACTCAGTACTTTTTTTTCAGGTTTGGATACCACATTCGGTTTCTACCACCAGCTGATTCCATGTCTGTGCAACTTACTGGTAACTGACTGGGGATCAGACTCTGTTGCGCAGTATATTCTCGAAATCTTGATTGGTCTGTCCAGCGTGCAGATTTGGCCCTCAAATCGTATGCTGTGTAAGTTGATGATTGGAATACCGGGGTCTGATCAGTTTTCCTGATGGGAATTATTTCCCATGTCTTCTGCTCTTTTCTGTTATCCACCTACTTACCGAATTGGAAGTTTTATCTACCCTCAAAGATCAGACGGAAACTCTGCGGTTATTGTGATTGCGTAGTTTGAAAATCCCGAATTCCCACCGAGTAGTTCGTGTCCAGCTGTTTCGTTAGACCCACTTGGACGAACCACAGTTCTCAGCGCCTCTTTTGTATACAACAAGCAGGATTAACTCATCACAGGTTGTAAAATCGCCTGGAATATTTATGAAATACCAACGCAACAATAATACTGTGAAGACTGAAGATCGAACCGACATGACTTCCTCCTGTCCCCTGAAAATGGACTGTAGGACGACATCCCTTGCCTTCTGCATCAAAGTGCGTCGTAAGGCAGTGATAATCGTGGATCATTCTCCTGTGATGACAATAGCTTCACTGTTCCTTAGTAGGTACTTTTATCTTCTCATTTTCCAGGACCGTTTATTTTAAAAGGGGATACCGATTGCATGCGAATGTGGCACCGATCCAAATCTACCATTCCTATCGTTTGTGAGCGAAAACTGTCAGGAAGGACAGATTCCTGAAGACCATCGCAGGATATCCGAAACCTACTGAGACTTTCGAACTCCACTAAACGCCCGTTAGACAGCCTTGGATCGAGGTCAGACAGTGCTAGACAGCCTTGGATCAATGTTAGATAGTGCATCCTGAATACACAGTGCGAGGCCGTTATAGTTTTCGCACACACTCTCGTGTTCGGAATGAGGTTGTTGTGTTCCCTGTTGACGAATCTTATTTCCGGCACTAGGCACTGGAGCGGGCTCAGCAGTCAGATAGAACAAAAACAATCGACGAGTGTGAAGTCTTTTGCAGCTACACAACCAGGGTTGTGTATAGTCCACTTATTATGACTCATAAGTCCTCCTTTGGGTTTTCCTCACCGCGATTACCACTAGCAAAGCTGAAGAGGCCGTGCGATGAATCGCTCTGTGCTTTTCTGATGAAACTTCCTTCGCATGCGCCTCTGCAGCTCAACATGAACCATCAGTCCGTACTGTATGTTCATGCCTGTTTCCGTACTGAACAATCCATCTCCAGCGACACTGCGCATACCCTTGTGCACGACTGAGTGGCGGTTTCTTTCACACGCCAGCAGAGCATGTTGGAATTTTCGGGGATGCATCACTCTAGAAGTTGGCTTACCGCCGAGATTGTAAATGTAGTATCTTAACGGCTTTTTTCATACATAATGTGGCTTTTGTACTGTTTATTTGTCTACCAGACAGGGAAACTGTTCGGCACATATGCGAATTCATCACAAAACAATGTCAACGTGAGTCCAGAGATCACAAGCGGCAGTTGCACAGCATCATTGTGGCCGCGTATTCCTGTCTGTCTTCTTGGGTCGTTGCGCACGCGCGACATGTTCTATTTGATCGCGACTGTTTGCAAATCGTGCTTGGAACAATAGAACTGGGTATTTGTGGCCAGAAGTCCAAGGTCAGTGTTGTTTTGATTGATGTCATCTTTGGTATCGTGTTAAAATTGCCCCCAATAAGATAGACTAGCAGCCGCGGTTTATATATATGCTTGCATCACTTCAACAAGTATCTAGTGGTTAACTTAACCTTAGATCGAGCAATTCGGAGCAGATGTGTTGCTTCCGGTCATATAAATCGTTCCAAACAAACAAACAATCATAGCAAAATTTTCGACCTCCACGTTGTGGAATCATCCTGCGACGGCTAAGCTATCCTCGAGTGTCTTCATCCGTATCGACCATCCTGTATGTGATTAGCTTCATTGTCTTCGAGATCACATCAACCGTCGCAACAAGAAGCTGCTGACTGGAAAGTTCGTGACTCGAACTCAACCCAAGATTTTCAGGCACAGGTTTGGGTAGCCTGGTGTTATCTCAGCCATCATGCTTTCTTCAAGTTCTGCGGTGACTGTGCACCGGAAGGACCCAGAGGCGGTCAAACAATGACCTGGCAGCGAAGTGTGAGAGCCATTACCAGCGAACTCAGCTGCGCTGGTCACTGACGTCTTCGTGGATGGGGACCCCGAGACCGGCCACATCAATGGCTAGAGACATTGTCAGACATGGCCCAGTCGCGCCCTCAATGGCGCTCGTGCATCCAAGGCTATTGCCTTCAATGCATAGCTCCTTTTCCAATCCCCTCACTTGACAGCCCACTGACAGTGCTGGATTTATGCACCAATTTACCAGCTCGCGCGTGCAATGCGCAGCTACCTACCCCTCCCCCACCCAAATCATCGGTGAACGAAACTGCGGCAGCTACAACCAGTGTACGCCGAGTACGCGGTTCTTACAGCTGACAATGATGATGATGACCAAAGGGACCCCCAGATAAAAGATTACCATTAACGTATCACAATTTCCAAGGTCAAGGGAATTGTCATTGCATCTCATCTACGACGGTTTACCCAGTTTCGAATACTTTGTTGAGTCTCATTTCCGCACCACAATTATTGCCAAAAAGTGCAGCTACTGGAGTAATTGTATTGTAACGAATGAGATTTTTGCATGATTGAACACTGTTGTCTATACGGAAACTTGACCATACTAAGTGGTCTTGAATTACGCGTAGAAGTTAAACCAGAAACGCAGGGAATGTACCACCAGACATTCAAAGCCCCTTCTAACCTCCTTTGAAAATTGAGGTCAGGAACGCCTGCACAGATTGCAATGGTCTTAACAACCGGTAACAGCTGGAATACCACGGATTGCGACCGTTTTTATGCCACTGCTAGGTTTTACAAAAGTTGCGGACTTTTGGTTTAGTCTTGGTTACATTAATGCTTTTGGCTCTGCAATAGCCATGCATTCGTCAGTAACTGCACTCAACATTCGCTAAATGGGAAGATGTTTCAGCGTGTGCTACGGCTAATGGCGTACACGAATTCGTACTACTGAGTAGCTATAGGTTTGCGAGTCGACAGTTAACTGGTAATGACTGAAATCATGCACACATCGAAATCGCTGTCGTGACAACAATAGACTCAGCTGTTGGTAAAATGAACCAAACGCGCTTCTCCTTGAACGAAGTTTCCGCGCTTGTTCGTCTCATTTGCGCAGCAATAACTAATAACATTTGCGTCATGTTTTGTGTAACTTATCGTCCGGCGACTGCCTCAGTCGAACGTTTGCTTCTACTCTGTTCCGGCGTTGATCGCTTCCGGAAATTCCTAACAATGCTGTTGGTTTTGTTGATTGTCAGGCTACTTCCGTACCAATAGCTAAGGCTGATAAGAAGCCAACTCCCGCTTCGAAGCGGGTTCAAGATGCGGCTGAGTCGACCCTATCCGTACTGCTATCACTCGCTGGTGCATATCCCGGCGTGACTGGCTCGGCTACTACATGTTCTCGCCTGGTTGAAGACCAGCTCATTCAAGCACTGGCCCCAGAAGACGAAGTTCGAAGACAACCAGAATTGTTGCGAGAGCTGCGCCAACAGTTTCAATACTTTTGGTCTGAACCTGGTGTTCTCTTGGGTATCCTGGAGGTTGCTCAGTGCCGAGAGGTGCTGAAATCTCGAGGTGTCTCGCTGAATAAGACAGAAGAGCTGGAATTGCCAAAAACCATTATCGTGCTGCGTGGGCCATTTGGACGTCATGTGTGGGCGGTTCGCATGCGACAACTTCCAATTGACGACCCAGAAGCGAGTGCCAGTCCGGTTCAACTAGCCCCGCCTTCCAGACCGAAAGCTTGGGGGTGCTTCCTGGAGCGTCTTTTAGTCACAATCGACAGGAACAAGACAGTGGAAGCACTTACTTTCCCAGCAAGCATCAGTGATATTCCCCTGGTGGACGCGTAAGTCTGGATTTCGTTATATTGTTTGATATTGTTTGTTGTTGATATTGAACAGAAAATGCTTTAGCGTAAGGGGTCTTGCAAAATCAACCAACCTGTTCGCGCCAAGTGAGTTCTTTACTACAACTCCAATACTTCCGAAACCACAAATAAGAAGCCAGTAAAGTGGATTGCATTCCACCATCGTTCACCGTTGCCTTGATATTTTAGATGGCGGAGTTAGTTATTTTAGTTTCACCAAGTTGTGTCGAACAGGGCTGTCCTCTTTCACCTTTCCTCATCAATTTCATCATTGATACGATCATGGAAGACTCGCTATCAGCCTCTAATGCCTGCGGGGTCGATGTGCTCCCTAGGCGTACGCTCACACATGTCAGGTACACAAATGACATAGCTCCTCTTGGATGTTACCCCGTGATAATGCGAACAATATTAAATAATCTAAATAATCCCGCCTCACGGTTTGGCACGCGCTTTACACCTGCAAAGTGTAAAGTGCTACTGCAAGACTGGGTGGCACGAACCCTAACTTCATGCTCGCAGATGAGCCGATTTAGGTAGTAGACAAATTTGTTTACTTGGGCAGATGTGTCAGTCGCGCTGGTCTCGCGAAAATTGATATTTACAGCCGGATTGGGAAGACCAGAGCAGCTTTTGTGAACCTGCGTCGCCTGTGGCGTAGGCGTCACATCAGCTTCTCCGTCAATGGTCGAGTGCGCTCCATATTACTATACGGATCAGAAACCTAGTCATTGCGCGCCGAGGACGTCAAAAGACTCAGTGTTCGACCATCGGCGTCTTCGGAGCATTGCCCGAGTCTGGTGGGAACATTGGGTAAGCAATGCCGGAGTATATCGAATGGTATTCAGAAAAAACAACTCACTCATGATAGATGAACTGATCATACTGCATAGGTTGCGCTGGCTTGGCCAGTCATTTGAATTCCTCGAAGGGTTCTTTTCGCATAACCATGTGAAGGGTGGAAACGAGCCAGAAGCGGCCAAATAGTGACTTGGCAGCGAAGCTATTGCCAGCAAACTTAGCTGCGCTGGTCATTGCCGTCTTCCTCGATGATGACCCCTAGACGGGCCATGTCAATGGTTCGAGACATCGTCAGACATGGCCCATTCGCGCCCTCAGCGACGCGGGTGCATCCAAGCTTTTGCCTTCAATGCATAGGTCCCTTCCCCACTTGACAGTCCACTGACAGTGCTGTGTTTACTCACCAATTTATCAACTCCCGCTTCCAATGCGCAGCTACCTGCCTCACCCCTCACTGTGGCAGCTACAACCACTGAACGACAAGTACGCGGTTCTTACACCTGACAATGATGACGATAGGTCGCTCTAGTGGAAGAGCATTGTAAGAGATACTCTGTCAAAGTAATTACAGTCATTAACGGAAAGAATGAAGCCGGCAGCGACCGGGGACGGAAAGTTTGCAAAGCGATTACCATGTTCGGTGAACAAACTAACAACCACTCCACGTTATATTAGTAAATCCCTGTGAAGTGATCACAATTTTTCTCTCTTGGGCGGGTCACAGAGCGTTCTGCGCTCCTCCCCTCGAAGTATCGAACAGAACACCGATTGTTTGCCTGAACTCATTTAATCCCGAAACTCCGTTTTTTTTCAACCCCCACATTGTCTTTCTAGTGATAGCTCAATTGGTTCAATTGAGCAAGTTGGTGGTGCACCTGAAAGCCAGTCACGCGTGGAAATCAACACTATCAAGAATCTTATCACGTCACAGTCGGCTAAAATCGAAGAGGTGGGTTTGAAATGTCTGAAACAACGTCTCAACGCCCCATTCCCAGACCCACTGGTTGAAGCACATCCACCTAGGTGAGTTCCCTGGTAGAAACACTGCCCCTGATATGCAGTTCAGTGTTCCTCGTCGTGCCTATTTCACGAAGGTTGCCTTGTTTCTCCATTCCAGTTCTAACGCCTCGTTCCAAGTGGGGCGGATGCTTCTGACCAATCTTGGCTACCTATCTGCCAACACTTTTGCCATGATGGAACTGGATGCCTTGAAGCCCGTTGGAAATAGTGAGAAACCGGCCCCAAGTCCTGCGGTTCCGCCTGCACAAATCAAAGGCGGGCAAGCTGCGCTGGGAAGCAGTCAGTTGGTCCAATCTTCAAACACTGAATTATCGACTGGTGCTGCCCCACTCGACCGAGACGTCACACTACAGGCGTGCCAAACATTCTTCGCCTTGGATTCACATAATTCAGATATACCTTCTATTGTGGATTCGTTAGATCGTTTACCGACACGAACTGCAGACACACTGTTGGTCTTTTATGTCGGCGCCGGGCAGTCTAAGGTGGACGTCATTCTCTCCAACATGGTAGGTGGTGTTGGCTGGGGATGCACATATGGGCACTGATAAGCTTGTCACTCAGTCCTTCGAAAGATTGTTGACATCAGACTTACTTTCTTACCGTAGTTTTTGTTAGCAGCCTCGCAAAATCGCTCATTGAATAAAACACAAGACAATTGTTTCGTGTCAGCTTCGGAGCCATTCAGTGAGGTGACTATCACTAGCTATTGGAGCTAATCATTCTCACAAGGCCCAGGCCGAGTTATGGACGAGGGCATTCGTGCTTCTACCGCATCGGCATAAATGAGAAGTTCTGTACACACAAGCTTGTCTGTGTGATCTTCAAGTTTAGGCTAATCCGCCGTCAATTTTTTTCCAGACTAGCTTTCAGTACTACTGCCCATGCCCTTGTATAATTGAATAACACCAACAGTAACTCGGTAACACGTTAGTCATGCACATGTTTCCATGTAGATTACTGTACTTATTCCAGTCGTATTCTGGGACTCTCAAGGGTTCAAGGGTTTTTGCAACAACTGGTATAAATTAAAATGTCGTACTCTGCTAGCATTCTCATGGATGATAGGTGAATTTGACAGACAGAAGTCCGTCACAGTTAGTTGGTTTTTTTCGCTTCTTGGCCATCCTAAGAGGCTTTAGCCAAACGCGGCGGTACCGGAGGTTTTTTACTTGTATTTTTGGAGCATCGACGGTCGTCATTTAAACGGATACTATACCACTTCGTCATCCAATTTGGCTGCGTTCAGATAACGAATTAAGTGTTACCTTCGATGGGTCCTGAAACACTTATGCTACATATTTATTCCACGGAGAAGCACCGTACAACAGAGTTGCAACCAAACTAATAGGATGAAGGCTGAACACCACTTGATGCCAGCTCCGATTATCACAATCTCGGCCAACTGAGTAGTATATTCCACAGTTCGCCTCCCTCTCCTTCAGAAAAACTGGAGTCAGCTGTCGAATGAATTCCACGCATTTATTCGAAACCTCGGTTCCTTCGTCGAGGTTGCCAAACACCCCGGATGGACCGGATGTATTGAGACAAGCTATCATGCAGTGGACACCTCAGTTGGATTCACCGCAGACCCGACGGTTTCCAGTAGATCGACCACCTCTACCCCGTCATCTGCCCCTGATGGTCATGAGCTCATTGTCTATTCCGCTGATGCTCTCACTGAGTTCGCCTGCGTGTGCCCATCGGACTACTATTTGGCCCCTGTAACCTCATTTGAACCAGAAAAAGCGGAAATATCACGGCGAGCATCGATGCTCGCCGACCCACCAAGTGAGTCGTAATCCATTGTTTCGCGTGAACGTACTCCTCTGCTGTAAGGGCTATGTGCCCGTTCCAGGGCACCTGCTATTTCATCAGGAATACGGTCGTCACAGTTTTGCAGACACAGACTGGCCGTTGGCCAACACTTGCCATCTCGTGGGGAAGCACCCACGATCGATCAGAAAGGTCGCTTGGCTCCAGACTCGTCGAATCACGTCTGTCGAACTTGCTTATAGGCTCAATCAGGGCTTTCATGACCATGTCTACTGACCACCCTTGCAGTCTCGGTATTCACAAGCGACACTCGATACTAAATAGATTCACACTAGGCGGTGGAAACTGCTTTCATGCTAGGATGATCATTGGCTAAGAGCATCACTGTAAATGCCATACATACCATCTTAATATTTTGCAGAATACAGTCACTCCTGAAAACCGAGAGCTTACGAGGGTTGCTTCTTTGCGAAGGGCTCAGGCTATCCTCTTCGTTAGAAACACATTGGTTTTTGGATCAGCATAGTACTACACTAACTGCCAATTGGTTATCATCCGCGACCTGGCAACGCCGCAGATTTGCCTTTAGGAATGTGCACTTTTATGCTGATTCTTGTTGCCATATCCCTACATAGGAGGATTTTTACCTCCTTTCTTGGATTAGATTTCCTTTATAAAGTGCCGAGTCCATTCTCAGCCTAGTTCACCGCGGATTCATGTCCCTTGTTGACCCCCAACTTCGTGTCTGCAAGAAACACCTATGTAACGATAACCTGTTGGGTCGATTAATGGTTGGAAAACAACGATAATCAGGTTTGACGACTCTACTCACAATGGGTACCTTCGGAATCACAAAGGATATAGGTAACAAAAATTAGCTGGTAAATATTGCTGTGCCGTCACCTTTCGAGGGTCTGTTCGGTTGATCCAGAGGTGACAGTCACATGTGGGTGGGTTGAAGCTGAGGTCAGCTGTCATACTATTTTTTGTATTTACGAGCGCTGACCACACAGCGTACATGGACTGACTGTTTCGATTGACGCAGGTAGTTTGTGTCTCTGACTTACTGATCGCGCAATTTTTCATTGTCTATTCTGCTTCTTTACTCCAGCTGGCGGAGCGCAACGCCTAGCACAACAGCAGAGTAGCACCACAATGTCCGGTGAGCCTGGAGGCGATCCAACTGGCGGGCGGGTGGCTGTGGTGTGGCTTGAGCGCTGGGAGGACGGTCCAGTAACAGCCGGTCCTGATAACCCTGGATGGGCAATACAGCAAATGACAAATCAGCTCTTCGGCTGTCCTGTGACCATCTATATACATCCGCTCAGTTCGAAACTCTACCGCGTTGGTGTTCTACGAGCTCCAGGTCGCGTCTTTGATGCCGGACCACTGATCAACGGCTCGGTCCTTAGTCACCGTGTCCTGGGAAGCTTCGTACGTCAAACGGTTACGAACGTCTCGCGTCGCCGTCGCCTGGCTTCTGATCAGTTTCAACCACCACATGTGAAGCGTAAATACCGCATCTGCGAATTGGAACAAGCTTATCGGACACAACTGAATCGTAGTCAATCCATTGCAAAGCAGACCAGCTATTGCCCTCAGGTTGTTCTGAAACTTTTCACAGCAGCTGCGTGAAGGTAGAACCTGGTTCACATACTGCGTATTTATTTCATCCTTTAGACAGCTGGTTTTGCTCTCTGAAATGATACTGCCCTTATGTGATCTCGTTCGCGCACTCTTTTCACCAGGGAAACGCCCAGATTTGACCATGTGCATATCCGTTGTTCAGGCGTATCAATGACGCTTATCTATCTGTTTGGCTTTCTTTTTTGTTTCTACTTTTGTACACACTGCACCAAGAAGCACAAACACGTGATACTTCTGAATGAATGATCTTCTGGTGCTCTTGCGCATGTGGATGAATGGCTCCCTCAACAGCGGCCCAAGTTTGCCACACGATTACCTAGTCGATAGATCTACCTAATGTGGCAATTTGCTTTTACGGTTTACAAGTATGAAGGGCAATACCTACCCCAGAACGTTGATGCGTATCCCGGTGCGTTTTCGAGCATGCTACTAAATAAACAAAAACATCTTTACAAATGGAGAAGAGTGATATATATACAATGATAACTCATCAAATCTGAATGAGACTTTTCTCATCCACTTTTGCCTTAGCGCCGCGTGCGAACTGCACCACCATTGGTCGATCATGAAGCAACAGGCCATTGGTTGCCTCAAGTGCCTGTGCTGCCGTAAGCTCGCCGTCCAAACTGACAAACGCTTGACCTGTGGGGATAACACAATTAACAGTAAGCACCGGAAAACAGCATAGTTGATCAGATGATAAAATAAAGCATTAAAGTAACTATGCTATCGGAAATGCAAGGCAGCTTCAAAGAGTAAAATTACTAGATCGAATCATGGGAAGCTGATTATAGGACTTTGATGAAAAAAACAGAAAGATTGACAGAATTCCCCAGGGCGAACAGTCCTGATGAAAGCTAGCGAGAAGATGCTCCAAGTCGCTAAACTGAAATATCTCTTCAAGTTCATGAGACAAGTGAGCTTCAACACAAGCTGACAAGCACGAAACTTGACTGAATAGACTTAGTACAATAATCAGCCTCGAAACCATGAGGTATCCCTGTAACAGTCGTCGAAAATTCGGCTGGGAAACGTAGACTAACAGTTTCTTACGTCTTTGTTTCTTAAATGAGATGTTCACAGGGGTCAACAGCCACACTCATGGTGCCCATGCTGGTTTCGGAACTCATAATCACATCCACCCGACGTCTCGAAATGCGAAACGATTTGCTACCTTGCTTTCGGTTGTTTGCCCTGGGGTCACTACCACTTGTTGCAGTGAGTAGTCTTCGAGCACTCTTGATCCAGACACTCAACTGTTGCAGCTTGATTTCAATGGACTCACACTTGTGTCCACAACCCTGTTCGAAGCGATCCAAAGGATTTCCATTTTCTGTTTTCGAGGAACTGCAGCACCAATTGACTCAAACCCAGGATGGAACGTGACTACCGAGAATAGTCCACCATCCTTATACAGGGCGTAGCAGGCGCCTTAGCGGTTGTAAGCAACCCGCGCTGCCATTCGGGGAAACACATCAGTCCAACCTATAGGTGTCCCAGATGGTTCACCATCCCAATACTCTCAGTCAGTTTGCTGGGCTCACCAAACAAAAATGAGCATACGCGAGCCGATGGAATTCCACTGCCCTTTTCGAGAGTTTGAAGCCTTGCACTGAACTGTGAGGTTGATTCATTCCAACACCTTTCACTATCCTCTGCTCACATTCTCTTCAACTCAACACAGGAAAGCACTTTTCAAAAGAACGCATTTTCGGTTGGCCCTCTGCGCGAATCGATTCGTGAATCCGTGATTGTGCCGACAGTTACCCGTCTATCGGAACCACTGTTCTTCAGTCTGAAGTTCGTAACTTATTAACTCTTCGTGTATATTAGGTACAGATTTTAGGGCACTAGCATTTCGCTTATGGTCATACACCTAGTTGTTTGACTCTATTTGATCTCCAAACGTGATCTGTCTGCAACACAGATCAAAATCATGTTCCCATGGGTCAACTGCCTCAGGAACAAACTTAGTGAGGTGCGTAATTGTCACAGGAATATAGAAACAGTCACTGGAAAACTCTTGTTGGGACGGGAATTTATGCAGGGAAGACCTAAGGTTGGGGTTACAAATGATTGCATAAGAAATATGGATCTCAAGCCATATTTTAGGGAATCATTCTGAAAGAGCCTCAGTTTGGAAAACGTAGCTTCTTCGAAGGGGCGACCGTATTCCCTAAGGATAAGAAAAATGCGATATTTGGTGATGTCAATATCGCGGCCACATGAATCAGTGTTGTGCCCAGACTAGTGGGTCAGTATAGCTGGGACATCATTTTTGTGGACAAGTTGAATAAATTGAACGCACTCCTGCGCATACTTCATGTTAACGCTTAGTTTGGTGCCATAGCCTCCGCCACACGAAATATTTCATGCACGCTAACAATAACTTTAAGCTTTCCAACCTCCAAACGTAAGTTGTATACGGCTGCATTTTCAGGGCAAACGCCAAATGATAATCTCGTCCATACGCGACCTGATCATGATAGCGGTAGGCGTGAATGGGATGACGGATCATATGAGGATATCCACTGTTCTTGACACTGGTACACGCTGGCTTGTCTTCAGACACTGAAATCGATCATGACAATAGGGTAGTTCCTGTTCTCCCCTTATAAGTCCACGCGCCGGAAAACTTATCTATGTTATTCTTTTCATGCTTCCACTTTGTGTATGACATTGCAAGCCTCCCAGTTGTTGCACTGGTGAGTTGGACAGAAAAAAAGGCAGACATGGCTTCCAGTGGTGCGTGGCAGGGAGTGACGGAGTGGTGTGAGGTATGAGCGCACATCCGAAGCGTCAAGCAGTAAGATTACAAACAATTCAGCTCTTGATAGATGAACAGTGACAAGCACTGACCTCGCTTCGAGAGCCAGGAGGCCCGGTCGCGACCTGGTGCCGCCGTTGTTTGCTAAGTAGACAGATCATACGAAACTTAGACTTGGCATAGTCATCCATGTGTAACAGCAACCATCGAGACGAGATCATATATTTCTCATTAGCTTCAGTTGTACCGAAGCCCAGTTGCCTTAAGTTCGCGTGGCATTGTAATTAGTCTTGCTAAAGCATGCACTGGGGACGAATGAAAAGTTCAAACGCATGACTTTGCTGTCATAAATGTGTACGATTTACCCATCCAGGCTACAGCACTTGTTCACCAACATCCCCTGTGGCACAGAGTGCCACAACATTCAGTAAGAACTAAGTTGTGCTTAGCTGGAAAAAGTCAGAGGAAAATCTAGGCGGCTAAGGAGACCTTTAGTTGAAAAACAGCCAAACGTTCGCCTTCAACAACCGCAAGATGGGATGTGGGCTCAACGGAATCTAATGAAGTATCCGGCTAGGCAGGGAAATGGTTATGAATGACCTTCCGTTGTTTTGCTTTACTGGTCCAATATTCACGCCTCAATCAAGCTGGAAAAAACCTGTGGGTCTAACATATTTGTCTTCGCTGAAGAATGGACTGTTGATACAACTGGTGTTTAGATTAGTGCTACCCGAAGCATTTTGCCAAAGGTCCTTGAAATAGTTTTATTTGTGGAGAGGTTATTTTCATTCGTATGAAACATCACTTGTTAAGTCGAGGGGAAATGAGTACCTAAATAGCCATTGGCATGATCACATGAATGCAGCTGAATGCTTCACCAATGCATTGAAATCTGTCTCATGTAAGGACCATTCTGTGTGTTCCCAAACATGGTCTTTCTGGAGGAGAGGGGATAACTATGTTTATATCAAGTTAGTTCCCCATAAAGCGCGTGATCCTCGGGGTTGTGTGCACCACTTGGGGCATTATAACATGAGGGACTAACTGGCTAGAGTTGGTAAGCGTTCGTCTCATGCCAATCGCTTTTATCCTATCATAGTACTTTTTGATCTGACGGAACTCACGCCTACATCCAACACATTGCTTTTCTAAAAGAAGGAACGTTTCGCGTCCTTGAGAATATCCTGTTTTGAAGTGCCGTGGGATACTATGTGTTTCTCAGGACTCGCTTCTGCTAACCCCGACCTCCCTGAAAAGCATAAGGATGGGTCCTTGGGGTTTGGCACCATTGTACGCCTGAGCACTGAGTGACGTGTTTCGAATTCGTTTTGCACCGCAAACTACGTTGCAGTAGGGGATCACTTCTGATTGACCTGTTGCCCATCACTGACGCGGTTGAACCCAGGGACTACAACCCTCAGAGACCTGGACCAGTAAAGGACAATCACCAGAAGACCCATTGCATAAACTATGGATTATTGGAGTGCTCACACCCTAACCTGACGAAGTACGACGGCCAAGTCTCAGGGCGAGCCTTATGTAGTTCTTTAATTTTGGTTCTTGGGCAGGATGACAGTTCTCTCCTCCAGTTAGCTAAAATTACCCTGTTTGTAGTATGAAACGATTCGGTGAGGAGAACTTAGCAACAGAACGCTGACAGTAGGCCACTGTACTCCTACGTGTGTTTTTACGGGGTTTACCTGGCATATGGAGCAAGTAGAAGGGAAATGATCGTTAATTCATTGGAAAAACTCACACAATATCCGAAAGAGAAGAAACAGTGGCAATAATCACGAACCTTTCATGCGACCTTCTGTCAGTAATCGAATGGAAAATCGGTCAGTAGAAGAGGACGGAACGGCCGGCTTGAAGTTCAGATCTTTCACGAGCCCAAATTGAAACACGCCGAAAACACGATGCAAATCATGTTCGGTAACTGATGGAGCCAGATTCTTGATATACAGTCGAGAAGTTGGTTCACCTGCTGAGTAGTTTTTAGAAAATACTGCGTAGTTTTGACGTTCTTCCGGACTTAGCCGACGCAGGCGGAGTTCGTCAAGAGAAAAGGACAAAGGGACATCACAGTCTGGTCGTTCTTGGTCAGAAAGTGACGGCAAGAAATCAGCACCTTCATCACCAGAGTTGTCGGAGGAAGAATAAGGGCGCTCTGTCCCTGCAAGCAAATATACAGAATGTATAACAATACCACAAGTAAGTCGACAGATTCATCAGGTGTTAATGATAAAATTCCAACGCACCCTTTCGGAGTCGGAAGTCGTCGCTCTCCCAAACACGCTCCGAAGACGTTCGATCTGCGACGACCATGGATTGGTGGTTTAATACGACAGGGTTTAGCAAGCCAAATCCACCCACTGACTCTGCGGTATGTGCTCGTTTCTCCTGCAGTGGTAACTCTTGTGGTACATGGAGCTGCAGCTTGGGCTGCGCGGAGGGTGTTTCAAATAGCTCGGATACGTTTGGTGGCTGTAACTTGTTGTCGCGGGTCCGCTTTGCAAACGCTGCTGGTCTTCCATCTCCCACGGGTTTCGTTCGCCTCTCTCGTCGTGCTCGTCGCACAGTGCGAGTCGCTCTTGTCGAGGTAGCAGATCTGAGGTCGGTATCTAAGCAAACAAAGAGTTCGGATCAGTTTTCATATGCGAAGAACTCACCCGACTCCAGTTCCGATTCCGTGCTGGTGGACAAATCCATTTCAAGTTCATCATCGCCTTTTAATTTACTGATCTGTTGTTGATCTGTTCTGCGCTCACGAGACACAAGTGGTTCTGCTGTCACAATGAGTGTCCCAGGGAACAATTCAGGGTCAACAAAAGGTGGAGGTAGATGAAGCCGGTTCATCAGATGCAAAACCTGAAATCAGTGATGTATAAGTGTGTGAATAAGGAGTTGGCAAAGACACGGTAATGGGATTTGTATCTAAGTTAATGAACTGCCAATTGACAGGCACGATTCAGAAAAAAGCTTATTTCGGCGGACAGTTAAACAAGCATAGCGTGAAAAGGTAAGGATATTTTAACTTATTGAATGATGCATAGTTCAGACTGAGACCACTTTAATTATCTAAGCGTAACTGTCGCATAGAGGATCGTCCGTTTCTCAGCTGCACATTCTTCTAAATTAGAGGAACAAAGCCCTGAAATAAGAGCGCAAACTGGAATAAACCAATACAGCAGCATGAAACGAGATTCGCCACCATCAAACGAGAGCGATTCAGCATCGGTACTCGGGACTGCTCTGTTATTCAAGTTTACCGAATGGTGGCTTCAGACAGTGTTAGGTGCATGTCTTAACATCTATACAAAGTAACTCAGTGCACAAATAAAAAAATTCAACCTGGTATAAGAATACACTGTTGCTGGTAACTACAAAGAGCTGGAGAGCTTGTCTTCAGACTGCAAAACATGTAATATATACTCCATTTCTGGCCTTATAACTGAAGTTAGTTGAGGCAACCCGGAAAAGTAGTAACTAAGGTCAGCTACAAAGTTTAGTAAAAAGGACACTGTCACGATTTCGGCCCTAAAAGCGACAGTCCTTGATTGATTTAGGGTTGCAAAGCCCTGCGTCCTTTTTGGGTGAGTTTACAACACATTTCTTGTGACGTGGTCGTTGAGCGCCTTCGCAACCTCTGACAAAGAAACCATTGAACAACAACTATGGGCAACATTGTAACAGCAGTGGTGACGAGTCACAACCGAACATAGAAGCGATAATAGGGCTAAGTTTGAGGAACGGTTGACGACACTCGTCATTCAAAAGGTATGTGTGCTCTTCGACCCGAAGTGAATCTCGAGCTAGTGCAATGACTCCCGATTTCGGTCATGTTCAACAACCACACTGCTCGCGGCGATCCCCTTCCCGTCAAACGTTGACAACGTTGTAGATAGTAACGAACCACTGTTCCAACCGACAGGCCTGTTGTTAGGTTAGGTCGATCTAACCAAGCACTGAACTGTGCGCTCCAATGTAGAAGGAGTGTAACGTAGCAATTATTTACTAAGGAGGTAGTCAATATAGTTTTTTACACACCTGGCTAGTGAGCGTGTTGTCGAAGTAATCTGGCCTGCTTTTGAGACCCGCCAAGGGTACATTTTCGAGGGTGAACAATTATCCAAACGACGAAATCCGCATGATGTATGTGTAACATTTGTCCAGGGGACAATAACTTTTATTTATTGAGACTTTTCTTTATTGAGACTTAACCATCAACAGCATCATCATCATAAACAGCAACATTAGTGCTGACACTGATGCTTCACTGCCGTACAACCATAAAGTTCACTTAATTACATTTAAAGCCATCGAGTGAAAAGAAGACAAAAATGGGGAGGGAAGGAACCTAGTGCTGGCCTATGTTAAGGATTCTTAGGTGCCTATGCCTCCAAGCGCTCAATCAGACAATCTGGAAAGAAACTGACATCACGAACGCCACTAACATCAATCAGCCACAATTTCTTACAATATCCCCAGCCAAACATAGGCTGGGTCACGGAGAGCCCATCCTGAAAGGCGTGCAACATCAACAACAACCAAACACTTTGTAATCTCCTACACGCCCTTCTGCTAGGTCACATGTTGTCCAACTCGCGGCTTGCGTCATTCTGCAGGAAGCATGGAGAACAACACTCGTCTCGGTAGACGATGTTTCGCCATGGGCAGCACATGACCAAGCCGCCGCAGTTGATGAAGGATGTTCTCCGGGATTGAAGTACCTGCTGTAGAAACAAATACCCGTTTTCTAACCACCTCGTTACTAATCCTTTGGTGCTACCCGAAACCAGCAACCCTTCTGAAGCATCGACGGTCAAAGACGCCTCATATCATCTGTCGTCTCAAACCCATACAACAACGCAGCCATTACTGTAGCCTGGTACACGCAAACTTTAAGATCATGTGATACGCCTTTTCAACGCCACAAGTGACGCAAATCAGACAACGTGATTCAAGCCTTTGAGATTCTTGCACTGACTTCATCAGACACACTATCGTCAGAGCTAATACAACCATCGCGGTATGTGGAATTCTCCACAACCTCCAGCGACTCTCCTTGGACTGTTAAGGGTATGTCCGGAGACTGTGTTTTAAAGCATGAATTTACACTTTGAGGGTAAAAGGCACATGCCGAAAGATGGTCAGTCCATTCGACAGGGCTTGTGCATCGCCTTGGTCTTCAAAGATAAGGGTGGTGTCGTCTACGTGCTCCAGATTGACAAGGTTCTCATCAGCAAGAATTTAAACACCGGCGTTTTGAAGACCTTCCAGCGTTTGCCTTGTTAATTCGTCGGTGACGAAATTCAACAAGGACGTAGAGAGCAGACATCCTTGTCAGATACCAGTTTTTGTAGGGAAGCTTATGGAAAGCTCAATATACACTCACAAGCCCAGAGGTATGTGAATATATGGATATGGTTACGCTCAAACTTCTTGGGCAAACCCCGTTGAGCAGGTGTAGTTAACACCTGACGCAATGTGGAGATTTTGTCGACGCGGCCTTTACCCGGTTAGAATCCCGCTTAATTCTCACGAGTCAATGTTTTGCGTGCCACCATAAGACGACGAAGAATCAGTGACGCCAGAGTCCTTGTCGCAAGAGGAGTTAAACTAACACCTGTGGTTACTACATTCACTGAGAGCAAACCTTTTGAAAATGGGCACTACTATCGATTCACTCCAGTTGTCCGAGACGTCCTCGTTCTCCAAGACAGACCCAAATAGGCTAGACCGGTACTCCTTGAGAAACCCACCGGCATGAACAGAGCAGGTGGAAGGTCGTCAGGACCAGTAACACGATGACCCTTGAGTAGAGATATACACGTGGACACTTCTGAGGTTGAAAGCGGTTCCATATTCACAGTTCACCTTTCTGTTGAAGGCCAGGAAGTGAAGTACTGTATCCAGCGGTTCAAACGTTCTACTTTGTTGGATATCAGGGAGCCATTGTGATCCCTGACAGTGTAGGTGACAAGAGACCCCCAAGGATCAGTCGAACGAATCAGATGGAACAGCTTTCGTAGGTTTTCTGCCTCTTCCATCCCTTCGGACTTACGGGTTCACCAAGCTTCGCGGTCTGCTGGGACACTAATTTTTACCTGGCGTCAGATGATGCGTCAAGTGTTGTGGTTGTGGCCAATGGGAATTTATTGCCAGACCTCCAGCAAAGGCACAGTCCTATCAGAGATCCTATGTTTGGATCAGGTCGGTTGGGTTGCATAGTAAACAGAAGTTCCGGCCCTCAGTAGCACTTTGGATATTTTCCCAGTGGCCGTTTATGTCCGACATCGGGCCGTCCAGCAAGCGCTCGAGGAGCCGAATCTGATATTTTCGTTTGATTTCTGGGTCCACAAGCTTCTCACTGGCTAATCGAAATGTGATTTACACTTAGACCTGAAAAGCGCAATGAAAATCAGAATCGTACAAGTGCATGGTCGGAGTCCACACTGGTATTCCAGAAGGATTGGCTAACAGTGGTCGAACCCCGCCACCGATAACTGACGACAATGTGGTCGATCTGCATTCAGAGCTGGTGGCGACCACGTCTGCAACCGATTTCCGGAAACTGGTAATGCAAAGGAATAGTCTGTGATCGACACATATCTGAAGCAGGCGATCTTCGTTGTCCGTGAGTCTCGTGTCCAATCCAATCGGGTCTCATCAGAGCTAAGTCAGCAGCACCTAAGATATCATAGAAACTGTCTTTGGCAGATTCGGAGCTGGGGCGTAAGCAGACACAACAAACACAGTGCGATGGACCTCGCTTTCTCAATATTGTCACAGACGTCGCCAAAGGAGCCGCTGAGGCGGTTATCCACGGACATCCAATCAAGTAGAGACGCTTCTGCCCGGTCGCTCAATCGATACCCAACCCAGCATATCGAGCTGTAGCGGCCTCTGCATCACCAGAGGTGCGCAACCGGAGACGGGAAGAGAGTGAGGGGGTAGTCAGTTCAGTCACAGTACTTGCTTCCTATATCCTTCTTTGACAGACAGCATACATCAATGCACAGAAAATCCGCGTACGAGTAAGAGACACCTGCTGTCCTTATTGCATCAGTGTGCGAACATTAAAGGCGGCTAGGTAGACAGGCTTCCGGGTTTTGAAAACAGACTTCGAAGTGCTTAGGGCTATTACTGAAGCCAGATGTACAGAAGTTGCAGCTGAAGTGATGCACGGCGAGCATAACGGTCAGTCCTAGTGCTAGGACCTGCGGAGAAGATATTCAAATTTGTGTGGGGGGGGGGTGGAAGGGGAGACGTGAAAGTGTAAGAACCGAGGCGGTTGCATGTTTTCGCTTACCCGCTACGCTGTATGCAGCAAGAAAACGAAACCCGGCTGATGGCACCACGCGACGGCCTATGTAACGTGAGCTTATTTGTATTTGCGCAATTTGTGGCTGTACGTGGGCTGGAATACTACCAGGGCACCCACACCTAGAAAGGAAGACGATCAGGGTCCTTGACCGAAGCTTTTGGCTCAAAAGCCTGACCGCAAGGCGGCAGCGTTTGGGGGGAGATGCAAGTGCATTAACATTTTTATAGAACAAGTCACTGCACATGTTTTAACCCCCAACTTGGAGGGCCAGGAGACTGTTGGTCAGACTTCTAAACATTGACCAACCTAATATGAGAGACCATGTGAGTATCGCACGGACACTACCCTAAAAATAATTCAGTGGGTCACAGGGGCACACAAATCGTCACACCATGGTAAGGTCCAGTCTCTTTGTGGCGAATTAAAGATCCATTCAGACAATCAAGACTCATGCGTTCAGGTAAGCTTTAGACATTCAACAGACGAGACCGTATAGTTTAATCGTAATCATGGGCAGGCGTGTATAAAAACTTGTTCAGTTCAACGTCCTCTACGATGGACTGACATCATTAACATATGGTTCCGAAGATAGAGTGCTAACTCATGGCTCGAGCCACCATGGCGGCACATAACGGTCGTGCTGACCTTCTATCATTAGAATTCACTGTAACTCCGGTTGTTGCCGTTTAATTAACCAATGCTTTCGTTGAAGATATGATTAAGGAATACCTACAGATACGGGACCAAAAAGGTGGCTGTTAGGAACAACACCCAAGTTTTTTTTCGCTCGGAGACGTTAGTCCACAAATTCAGCCCGCAGCCGGGCTTTCACACCCGAGACACTCAATAATGAAGATGAACCAGGTAAGGAAGCCAAGTTACCCAATTCATATTTGTGTCTGAGGAATGGAACAAGACCGAAAATGTGCAGGAGGCCTACAATGAGGGACCGAAGACTGTGAATAGTGCGCACCAGTTAAGCAGCCCGAAGGAAGGTATAGGATCACTTCAAAAGAGACAATCTAGGGAATACGAATTTAGACACATTGGGTGATGTCGACATGCAATTAAAACGGAGTGTATGGTATAAAGCAATTTTTTCCAAAATATACGTCGGTTATTTGTATTGGATGACGTTTTTTGTAGAACCGAGCTTTCTCTTGGCTGGCAGGAGGCTGCTGGGATTGATGAACAATGCAGTATCCGCAGCAGAAGTGGAAACATAACGGTTTCAAATCAAGTGCTGCGAAGTAGCTAGGTGAAATTGACCGGTCCCCCAACGACCCTAGATTATTTAAAGTCAGGTTTGTAAACCTTATAGATCAGAAGCTAAAACGATAAACGTATTTGAACGGCTTAAAGAGGTAAAAACAGTTGTGTGGATATAAATTCGGGAGTTTCTAAAAGTGTACTCAAATAACAAGACAGTTCACCCATGACGTTAAACCAAACACACGCCGATCAAGCCCATATATTTTTCTAGTGAAATCGTTCAGCTGTAGCACCCTTTCAGTGCCTAGCTGCCATGCCACCCTAAGAAAGCACGAGGGCTGGGATACTACCAGGTTGCCCAAACCTGGAAAGGGGAAGTCGAGAGGCAGGGTTCGGGTTCTAACCACGGAAATGACACGTAAGTCCGGTCCATTTCAACGTGGAATGAAGCAGTGTTCCCCCTCGGAATAAGCAAGAGTGAGGAAGATTTAGGGTGGTCGAAAATGTGCAAGAAAAGTGGTCCTCACGCCACTGTAAAAGAGAGTTCCAACAGTGTCAGATCGCCCAGGAGAACAGGAATATCCGAGGAGCTGCAAACTATTCTCGAGAGGTGAACAGTCTTTAGTGAAAATCTCAGAATCATCACTAAAACGCCTTAAGCAGCACAATACGTAAATCAGCTAGCAAACAACGGGCAAAAGGCTTATTCCTTCGACAACTTCGTGGACCGGTCAGGAGTATTTTTCAGAAATACTGTGATGATAAACGTCCAAATCGCTCAAAAAGTAAAAAGCCACTAACCTGTGTGTAAAAAGCCGGACAGGATACCATCGTCCGAACAATGTTCGTCAAAATACTTTCTGTAGCAGGAGGGTATTTATAGTGTAGGTTGGGTGAAACTGGTATCCAAATGTCCCACTTCGGAGCAAGCGGTGTCGATGGGGATTCAGCCGTCGGCATCCATCGTCCAGGATAAGGCTGGATTCCCTGTGTACCCGATCCACTTTGACGAAATTCATTACTGATAGGGATAATACAAGTTTCTCTGGACACATCTCATCCACTTACGGGCCTGTATCGGTAGGACAGAAGAATTCGACACAAAGCCGCTTCTCCAAAATCGTTCGTTGATGAACCCCTCTAATCACTTTCCAACAATGTTCCAAAGATGGAAAATCCGCTAAAGCAGACTAGATATGAAACAACAAGAAAAGCGAAAAGCCTACATTTTTCAACGCACCTTGCTGACCGAGGTAGTTTACATTTGTTGCTCCAAGGCTGTGCAGAAAGCTCACTATGTCTTGCGCTGTGAGCTCAGTGGGAAAGTGTTTAAAAATCAACGTAACCGACGACTGTGAGTTTGTGGGAACCTGAACCATCATCCTAAAGATCAGAAGTGCACATTACTAAATACTGCACTCAGCTCCAAAAACAATGGATTTATTTACCTCGTAAGATGGTAGTACTCGTAGGTTATATTTATAAAATGCCAGGAAATATGATGTAACGCAATAGTAAAGTGAGTAAGGGTTCTCAATCCATAAATAAAGCACGGTCAATAAGACAAACAACCACAGAAGTGGTGGTTATTACAATAAGCAATTTAAAATTTTATTGTCAGTGAACACCACTGTCCAGCAGAATTCGGAGAGAGGGCTAAATGGGTTTTTGGATAACAGCAGAAATAAGATCGTCATGAATTGCGGTGCAGGCAGAAGTTGAGTCGAGCTCAGCTAATCGGTGATGGTATATCATACAAACATACGGGATCTGAAGGATGCAGCGAAGCCTCAATCAACCGCAAGTGACATAACTATGATTGACCTATACAACTCGCTCTCCTATTCACAAATTTCGTGAGCAGACTTGCTTTACAGCCACAAGGTCATTTACCAAAAGTACGCCGTCTACAACTGCTGAGGATCTGTTCACGCAGAGCTTAGCGCTGATGCAACTACCTGGACTGAATCCCAGTAGGAAGGCGTCCTGGCACTGTTTGGTTGACCAATTCAGTTAAGAACAGTACATTTTGACAGGGTATTTGGGGTTTGTTTATCGTCATCACTACCAGAAAGAGCAACATCAGTGCTGATACTGCTGTGTAACCGCAGTCGCAATTTTATTTATAATTGAAGTAAAGAGTCGACGAGGTGGGGGCCCGGTGCTAGTCTTCCACAATCATCCTGGGGTACATTTGACCCCAAAACGCTCAAGCAGAGAAGTTGGGAACAGACCAAAGGCACTAACCCTACAAGCAGACATTTCTTGCAACGTATTCAGTTAGGCGCAGATGGGTCACAGGGAAGCCATTCTAAAAGTAGGATTGCACTAACGTCCATATTGTTCACTATAATATCTTCCACGCCTAACCTCCACACCAGATAGTCCATTTCGCCCTTGTAACTCCACTCCGAAGGTACGGGGAACAGAACTAACGACCGAGCCACTGCAGTTGAAGGTTCTGAATGTTTTTTGCGACTGAAGTACCTGCTTCCGGTTCCTGTTTACTAGTTAACGTAACAAATTTGTTGAAGCCATCCGACACCAGCAACAATTCCGAGATATCAGTGGTCAAATACGCGAGGACGCTTCAGATGACTGTTCGCGGGGGTCGCGCCTCGCAATCACACAACACATTCTTTACTGTAGCCTGGCACACACGACCACTGAGATCCAGTGATATAACTTCTTGAAACCACAAATGAACTACAAATGATTCGGCCACTGACTTCATGAAACTGTCCTTAGAGTAAACGCAACCACCAAGGTATGTAAGATTCTCCCCAACCTCCAATGCTTACCCTTGGATAGCAGTGGGATATATTCGGAGACTACGCATCCTGAACCATGACTCTGTACCTTTTAGGTGCAAGGCGTATGCCCAAGGATGGTATGGTGGTGGTCAGTTTTCCAAATGCTCATGCTTTGTCGTCGTCTTCAAATATTATGGCGATACCATTAACAAGGTTATCACATAAGTTCTTAGGACCTGGAGGGTTCACTCCATTACCTAGTCGGCGATGAAGCTGAACAAAAATGTAAAGCGGACAATCTTCCCGGATATCACTTTGTAGGGAAGCTTATAGAGAGCTTATCATACGCACAGCCAGAAACTCTATGAAAAAAGGACTGAATTATGCTCACGTTACCTGTTGAGCAAGTGTGGCAATGACGAGTCGACATAGCTGAACACACCTTATGGATCAATTAACACCAAAATAGTGGTTGTCTATACATAGAGCATTGCTTGAAGCCTGAAGGAAGTGAATATGTGTGAATATGCAGCCTCTATCCGGTCAAAAGTACGCCTTTTGTTCACTGACCAAGGTTTCGCGCGCCACCGTAATACAACGACAAACGACTGACATCAGAAGTTTTGTCACGACGGTGGCAAAATTGACGACCCTGTAGTTTTTACATTCACTACTAGTACACGTTTCGGAGACATTAGTATCCACTCATCCCAGTTAATTGATACGGACTGTTTCTCAAAAAAGGAGAAAAACGCGTCAAGCACTGACTGAGGAATTCACTGCCGTCTCTGAACATACCATAACATGTCATAGATAAATCAACACCCAAACTCCTCGAAATCTTATCCCTTTTGCGAGGTCATACGTTGTCCACCCCACAGCTTCCGCATCGCCTTCATCAGACGCTTCTATCGGAGCTAATGCAACTACGAAGGTATGCAACATTCTCCACAACCCCCAGTGATTCTCCATGAATTGTTAAGGGTATATCCGCAGACTGTTTTAAAGCATGACTTTGAACTTTGGGAGTGCAGGGCGCATGCCAAAAGATGGTATGACGGTGGTCAGCCCAGTCAACAGGGCTTGTGCATCTCTCTGGTCTTCAAGGATAAGGGTGATGTCATCTGCGTACGCCAGATCGAGAAGGTTCTCACCAACAAGAATTTAAACACCGGCGTTTCGAAGACCTTCCAGCGTCCACCTCATTAATTCGTCGAAGACAAGGACATAGAGAGTAGACATACTTGTCGGATATAACTTTTTGTAGAGAAGCTTTTGGAAAGATCACCACACACTGACACCCAAAAATAAGTGAATACAGGAGTCGGATTACGCTCACAAAATTTTGTGGCATGCTCTGTTGAGCAAGTAGTAGGTGTTTGCAGTAATGTACTTATCGGTGTGGGAGTTCTACTTTGCTGGATTTGAGACAGCGATTTCGGTTCCTGATGATTTCGCTGAGCGGCTTCGCAGGAATGGTAGAACAGCTTGCAGACATTTCGAGCATTTTTCGCACCCTATATTTCCTCAGCCTTTCGGCTCCAGCAAACATTTCGGTGTGCACGGACAGCCAGTTTCACCTGGTGTCGGACAATGCGTCAGGTGAAGTTGTGACTATTGACAGGGGCAATCTGTTGCTCGGCCACCAACAAAGCGCAGTTCAATCAGAGTCAATGTTGGGATGAGGTTGGCTGAGTTGTATTGCAAACAGAAATTCGGGACCTGAGTGGTGCTTTGGATATATTTTCTCAGAGGCTGTTGATATCCGACATCGGCCCGTTCGATAGGCGTTTAAATAACCGGTTCTGATAGGTTCATGTGATTTCTGGGTCTGACTAATCGAGGTGTATGCGTTACGCTTAGACGTGAAAAGCGCAATGAAAAGCAGAAGCGCTCAAGTGCATGGTCGAATTCCGCAGAAGCAGCGTACAAGTGCTCACATTGGCGTGTGATATGAGACCAAGAATAGGTGAGTACATGGAAGGATGCACCAGCAGTAGCATGTTTTTTACGCGGACGGGGATACGTAATGTCGGGACGCCGACAGCTAGACAGGAGGGCGATTCAAGCTTCCAACCAGGGTCCGTAGCTCGAAAGCCTGACCGGCGGTTGGTGTCGGTGCACTTCAGAATCTGGAATAACCACATTAACCGGAATCGAACAACGCCAGTTGCCAATCAACAATGGAGGTCCAGGATGAATTTTCTTTGCCTCAACACCCACTCCAGACGGTTCGCATCCCACACTCTTCAAACAAGGTGGCGAATGCCTTGTGGCTGGTCTTACGGTCTTACTATGGGATACATGGAACAAAGGCAGAATAACATCGGACGGTATTTTTCATGTTCAAAAAGGGTGCAAGCGATAACAACCGAGGGATCTATCCAGTAACTATACTCCAACGTTCACGGTTGAGTAGATCACTTCGACTTCAAGCCCTTTCCCGAGTAAATCGTGCAGAATCAGGTGACCGCCAAGAGCATGTGATACTTCTGGTGGCATTTGTCATAGTAAACCAGTTGACTAGTTGACATATCAGCTGATATATATGTATGTATTATAGTCCAAATTGTAATAAAGCTGAAAGAATTCTGTCAGCTGACAGCAAACTAGGAATGTCACTATTACCACAACTTTTTGGTTTTTCATTTTTGTGACCTGAGGAGTTCATGAAAGACTCTGTCGGATTTTAATAACCAACATAACCTTACTCCGGTTTATTCTCACTACAGCAGCGTTTTTAGGTGTTTGCTCCAGTTGCGCTAGTCTACTGGCATAATACTTTCGGGTCATTTTCACAACTTGACCCTCGTCAAAGACCATCACGAAACAGACCTTGACGAGATGGCAACCAGACCGCGTCTCTTGAAGCGCCAACCCCGTTCCGATTGGCTGAAATGTCCATTCCGGGAACATTCAGAAATTGGGGCCCGGCTGAATGTAGGTTTAGGATTGACCCCATTGACAGCAGTGGGGAATCATCTTGTGACGGTACTCGATAAAAATCTACATGGAAATTTTATTTATTGGGGTATTTTGGCCGATAGTTTCTTATACGCAGTAGTTTGGCACAACCTATTTTTGGGGTATATCTTCGTCCATCTTGGCCATAGATATCAGTTGTAGACAGTCCCACGGTGATTAGATGGTGTAATCTACCCAAAAAAGTGAGTGTTCTGAATGGCATAAAGTCAGTGGTCGATGCTCCAGTTTCGACTGGTTTCAGTCCCGTCCGCTGGATGATAGATATCAAATGGAAAGGTGTAAGTTGTTCTGTGACCAGAAATGCTCGCCTATAAGGCCTCCTAACCCGTTGATTGGTTTCATTAAATAGGTTAATCTTTATTTTCGCACGTTAATTTTATCAGCGACCGCCGTAACTCTGGTTGACATTAACGGAATCATCGGTGTATTCTTCGACGCAAACGGATTAATGATAGTGTCTATTGTTATTCTAGAGTTGTTCATCAATTCGTTATTCCAGTACAACCAGACGAATCAGTCCTTGACCGAACTGTCCAGAACAAACTTGGCCGTCACTGGTAATACACCTGGAGTGGAGCCCCAGAGAGGCCTGGTGAGCGTGTATGGGCTATGTGGGGGCCATTCTGAAGGCCAGTACACTTGAG